GCCACGGTATGCTTCCTGCCTTGAACAAAAACACAGAGCTAGTACTCAGTAAATACTTATTGAAGGTTGGTGGGTGGTATGGATTAGTGACTGGATAGTAGTACCAGGGACAGATTGAACAGTTTCACAGGATAGATTCCATTTGGGGAGTTCTCTACTAAGAATGTGCTTAGATTTGAGGTTGAGTTTGAATTGTGATTTGGGTTAAGATTAAACTTGGATAAAGTTTGAGGCTGAAAGCAGAAACACCAAGTCGGAGGCTACTGTCAGTTCAGCCCAGAGATTTCCATGGCCTCTCCTCTGAGAGTGCTATGGGCACTGCACAAGACTTCCAGTCATCAGCTCTCCCACCCGGGGAAAGTCCCAAACAGCTGTTGCCTCCCCAAGAAAGAAACCCAACTTCACACAACCTCCAAAACTGAGATTGAAACCAAAATTGGCCCATGGCAAGGCACATCCTTCAGCATGCTGCCAACTCCCGTGACACAGCTTAGCCCCTTCTGGCCCTTCCCTCCTCTGCCTCTCACATCTCCTCATGCTCCTCACCTTCCCCTTTCCATTTCCCTCCATTTCCTTCTTCTCAGACCCAAATCTAATCTCTATTTCCTTTCCTTCCCTTCCTCCCTCCCTCCCTTCCTCTCTTCTGCTCTCTCTCCCTCCTTCCCTTTCTTCCTCTCTCTGTCTCTCCTTAACTGTATTGCCATTTTCCATTTTAATACTGCTCGGCCATGGTCCCAGTCTATCAGCCGCTACCACTTAAGAGGCAGAAACAACAGGAAGCATAAAGATTCCCAGGGAAAGAGGAACACAGAAAAGGAACCAAAGATGACACAAACATGACAAGATTAAAATTTGGTCATAGAGAATGTAGCTCAGTAGAAGAGTGCTTGCCTAGCATGCTCAAGGCCATGGGTTACGTTGCCAGCACTGTCAAAGATCAAAAGAACGAGGAGGCAAGGTATAGACAAGTTACAGGGGGTGGTTTTTGTTATTGTATTTGTTTGTTTTGTTACAAAGTGTCTAGTGTAATCCACATAGCTAAGTCTGACCCGATGCTCCTCCTGCTGGCTCTGCCTTCACTTTCAGAGCTTCCTGAGTGTTAGGATTATAGGCATGCATCACCACACCCAGTTTATGTGGTACTAGGGACAGAACCCAGGGCTTTCTGATCACCAGCGCTCTACCAACTGAGCCACATCCCCAGGCCTGAAAGAAACATTTATGTGTTTCCTTCCTCCTTTATAGCAGGCAGTCACCAGTACTGTTAAGTTTTGCCTTGAAGCACTTTCTCCTCTACACAAATACAGACTCTTGTCATCCCGAGCTGGGTCATTGTAAAATTCTCTTCACTGGTCTCCATGGTGACCTCAGGGCCCTCCATTCTTCATGTTACTTCCAGACTCCCTTTTATAACAATGTAAGTGGGTCTCTCTCTTATTTAAATTTGCTGATGGCTCTTTATCATATCAGAGTGAGATTTAAACTTCTCTCCTTGATTTAAAACCCTGCAGGGTGTATTCTCTGCTTACCTGCAAGTATTTCTCTTGCTCATTCCAGATGTATTCAGATGCACATCTCAGCCCACAAGGGTTCTCTCACCTGCAGTGTCCCTCTCCACCTTCCTTACCTCCATAATGAATGCCCCATAGATTTCCTGTGGACTGCCCTGCCAAGGTCCTGAAGCATAACTACACTCCAGTCAACCTGAGACCCTCAAAGTCAGGGAACCATCTGTTGGAACTGTCTCCCCAGTAGCTAGCTTGTGCCAGGTGTACAAGTGTCTGTGGAGTGCAAAGGACCCTGAGGAGATTGTATGAGAACCACGGGAGCCTCACAGCACATGCCCCCAAAGGGTGGATCCTGAGCTGGGGACTTCAGAATAAGTATAAGATCTGAGAAACAGCACCAGGTCTCATCGCCTGTCCAGCTTTCTGTCCTGCCCGCATCTTCCCCCTATGCAAGCCATCGAAACTGGGATTTCTCTTTACCAACATGGGTCGTAGAGACTAGAACCCTCCTTTTTCCACAACCTAGAAGTGTTGTTCTTTCTCCACCTTTCTGTGTAAGAACTGGTTATTAAGAAAATGTCTAGTCCTGGGTCACAAGCCTCATTCTGCAGGGCCCTGCCCAGTTCTGAGGAGGAAGGGCTACAGGTCAGAGCACCATGAGGAAGCTTATGTTCCCACTCAATCATTTGGGCCTGAGAACAGCAGTGTGCCCAGTGACCAACTTGACCACCACCATTGCCAGCTGCAGACCACTACAACACTCTGGCTGAACAGGATAATGGTGATATTTGAAGTGATCTCATCATACATGACCAAAAAAAAAAAAAAAAAAAAAAAATCTAGTTTATGCACAAGCATTTTCTAATCGATGTTTTTACCTCAGACAAAAACTAGAAACAAACCTAGTGACCAGCAACAATGTCCTTGTTGGCTTTACTTGAACACTTAGCAGTCTAGAGTCACCTGAATAGGGAGTTTCATCTGAGGAATTGGCCAGATTAGATTGGATGTGGGAATGTCTGTGAGGGGGTGCCACTGTGGGTGGCACCATCTTCTAGGTGGTGATTCTGAATTGTATAAGAAAGCTGGATAAACTACACAGAAGCAGGCAATTTCTGTGAGTTCAAGGCTAGCCGAATATACATATTGAGTTCCAGTCCAACTAGGGCTATGTAGTATGACCCTCCCTGTATGTACATATATACATATATCGTAATAATGAAATAACTCTCTAAAGAATAAAATTTGTGCCAGGTGGTGGTGGCGCACACCTTTAATCCCAGCATTCGAGAGGCAGAGGTGAGTTCTAGGCCAGCCTGGTCTGCAGAGTGAGTTCCAGGCCAGGACAGCCAGGGCTACACAGAGAAACTGCCTTGAAAAACAAAAACCAAAACAAGAGAGGAATACATTTTGAAAAAACAAATGCATTGATAATGATAAGAAGGAGTAGGGGGAAGAGAAGGAAAATTTTTTAAAAGAAACACAGCAAGATGGCTGCATGGGTTAAGGTGCTTGCTGCCTTTACCTAGTGACCTGTGTTCTGTCCCCAGGAAGGACAAAACCGACTCCCAAGAGCTGTACTCTGACCTCTACATGTGGTCTGCGGCTCTTGTGTGCACTCACATGCACACACATAAAATAAATAAATATATTTTTAAATGTTATATTGTGTGTGGGATTTTTGCCTGCATATATGTCTCTGAACTACTTGAGTGTAGTGCCTGTAAAAGCCAGAAGAGGCCATCAGATCTCCCTGAACTGGAGTTACATACAGGCAGAGGTGCTTGGAATTGAACATTGGTCCCCTGGAAAAAACAGTCAGCACTCTGAACTGCTAAGCCATTTCTCCAGCCCTCAAAATAAATAAACATTTTAAGGCTTTGTTTTAAGAAAAAAAAAAAAACAATCAATGTTGTTTCTGGAAGTGTGGGGGATGGATACACATACCTGGCAAGCAAGCTACCAGAGCTACATCCCAGGCCCTTCTAACTAATGGTTCTGCAGGTGTTTCTTCAGACAAGACCCTGGGCTACCATCCTACTGTGTAAAATTCTGAAGGAAGTCTGGGGGCAGGTGTATTTAGGGCTGTATAAATCTGATCTGCAGGGAATAGGGTGAGACCATACTATACATGAGTGTGGTGGGTTCTAATAACCCCCCACAACCCAAATCATCTTCAAGACATGGACTCTCTAGCTCAGTGGTTCTCAACCTTCCTGATGCTGCAGCATTTTAATACAGTTCCTCAGGTTGTGGTGAGCATAAAATTACTTTTGTTTCTACTTTGTAACTGTAATGTTGTTACTGTTATGAATCATGATGTAAATATTTTTGAAGATAGAGGTTTGCTGAATGGGTCTCGACTCATTCAGAGTTGAGTAAGGAGATAATGTTAAGATTGTCACACACCAAGATACCCCAGACTAAGAGGGAGGGTCTGTAATGGAACTTCTTGATATGAAACTGGAAGAGGCCAGAAAATACATATACTGGAATAAGTGTGACTTGAACCCCCAGAGACAATGGGGGAACCTGAAAGGGTATAGGTCAGTGGTGGAAGGCTTGTCTAGCATATGTGAGACCCTGTGTTCAAACCTCAAAAAAAGCAAAGGTGTCACTTGCCACATGTGGCTACAGAGCCCTCCAGATGTGACCGGAGGATGGTGAAGGAAATGAGCAGAGAAGACTGAGCAGTCAAGGGTGCAGGCGTGTTACAAACCACTGCTCTTCAGGGAACCCAGCTTCCAGCCGCAGCCCAGTTGTGCCCCCTCATTCTCCACGAATTGCCTGTCCCTTCTCTGGAACACCTAGGCCTGACCCTGCTCCCTGGTAGTCCTTGTCGCCCACAGTTCCCCCAACCCCACTCCCTTTCCCAGAACTCAGTTGTGTGAGTCCCTAGCCTGCGGCCTAAGCCTTTCCTGCCTTCGACTGAAACAGCAGCATCTTCTGAGCCCTTGGGGGCTTCCCCAGGCCCCAGCCCCGACCTAGAACCCGCCCGCTGCCTGCCACACTGCCGCTTCCTCTATAAAGGGACCCAAGCGCCAGAGCCCAGGACCCCGCACAGCAGGTGAGCCTCTCCTTCCCCATCTCCTTGGGCTTACCAGTAGCAGGCATCCCTCGGATCCAGGAGATCCTGCCTCTTCACTTGGGCCCCAGCACTTCCTGTACCAGCTGCCAGGATCCCCAGCCTTATGGAGTCTGGTCCCTGTGGCTTTTACTTTTGGTCTGTTCTTGTGGTGTCTAATTTGTTGTCTATCAGTCGCTCTCTCTGCCCATCACCCATCTGATACCTCTGTGGTTTCTTCCCTTTTCCAGTCTCTTTCTTTCTCTCCTTAACCCTGTTCACTTCAGGGTTTCCCTTCTTGTGTCTTGTCCCTTCTCTGTCTGTGGCCCGTATCTCAGGGTAGCTGTCTTCTGCTGTGTGCCCCGCCTCCCCTACATACACACTCACTCTCTCTCTCTCTCTCTCTCTCTCTCTCTCTCTCTGCAGGTCCTCTCCATGACACCACTTGGACGTCTCTACCTCTTGAGGGTGCTTGGCGCCCCCCCTGTCTTCCTTCTGGGGCTGCTTCTGGTCCTACCTCTAAAGGCCCAGGTGAGGCAGCAGGAAAATGGGGGTGCTGGGGTGGCCTAGTGAACCCGGAACCTTAGACCCCTCTTAACTCTGCCCTCTCTAGGGACTCTCGGGTGCTCACTTCTCCCCTGCCAGGACAGCTCATCGGGCCCCTCAGAAGCATTGGACCCATGGCATCCTGAAGCCTGCTGCTCACCTTGTTGGTAAACTTCTGCCTCCACAGGTCCAGTCCCTGGCTCTTCTCCTCCTTGCCCAGGGGCTCAAGTGATCACCCCATCTCCCCACACCAACTTCTCTTACCCCTAAAGACAGGCACCCCCTTCTCATCCCCTCACCAACCATCCCAGCTGTCTAGTACCTGATTCCTCAGGGATGAAGACCTCTGAGCTTGACCCCCAATATCTTATGACTTTTTCTAGGATACCCCAACAAACAGAACTCACTGCTCTGGAGAGAGAACACAGATCATGCCTTCCTCCGCCATGGCTTCTCTTTGCACAACAACTCCCTCCTGGTCCCCACCAGTGGCCTCTACTTTGTCTACTCCCAGGTGGTTTTCTCTGGGGAAAGATGCTCCCCCAAGGCCACTCCTACTCCCGTCTACCTGGCCCACGAGGTCCAGCTGTTTTCCTCCCAGTATCCCTTCCATGTGCCTCTCCTCAGTGCACAGAAGTCCGTGTATCCGGGGCTACAAGGACCATGGGTGCGCTCAATGTACCAGGGGGCTGTGTTCCTGCTCAGTAAGGGAGACCAACTGTCCACCCACACAGATGGTATCTCCCATCTACATTTCAGCCCCAGCAGCGTATTCTTTGGAGCTTTTGCTCTGTAGAATCTAGAAGAACCCAGGAGTTGGTTTCCAAGCCTCCATTCTGACCATTTTAAAGGTCACACCACCTCTCCTTTGCCCATCCCCACAGTCTCAAGCCTTCCCTAGGAAAATCACCTGGAGCTTTCACAGAAGGAGTCTGAGGTACTCCAAGGGAACCACATCTCTCCCGGGGCCACCCCAGATGCTCAGCTGAGGATTCCAGCCTGCCTAGAAGTTCCTGCACAGAGCAGGGTCTCTGTGGGTCTGGGTGGAGCAGAGACCTGGATTTGATAGAGGGACGAATGTGGGGAGGTGCCTGGGGACAGGGGAAGGGAGACTATTTATGAAGGGAGAGGTTAAGTTATTTATTTATGGAGAACAGAAGGAGGAAAGAAATAGGCACCAGATGACAACTAGGTCCCAGACACCAAGAATGAGGTAACATTAGGTCAGTACTCAATAAGAGTGAGAAGAGCAAGTGTGAGTGGCCAAGGGGTTCAGAAGGAAGCACAAGGCTCTAAGCACACTGCTTAGCTAGACATCCACAAGGGGCCACCTGCCCCATCAATGATGCCCAATAAACCTCTTTTCTCTGAAATTCTGTCTGCTCACGTCTGTCTGTTCAGGACTGGGGAAGGGGAGGGGGAACTCTTCCAAGTCTCTCTAAGGAATGGAATAGGGACAGAAACCTCAGGTGGATCATGGGCTGTGGGCAGAACAAGAAGGTGTAAAGAAATCAATACCTCCCGGATACATGGTGGGAGTCAGCAGCCTACCAGCTGGTGGAGAACCAAATGATAAACCAAGGAGATTGATCCAGGGGTGTGGAGAGGTTGGAGGACCACACCAGAGGGTGGGAGAGCATTCAGGTCTGGGAGGGTGGAGGAAGGGAATCATTGGACGATGTGATGTGGAGCCATAAGGCTTGGAAGGAACCCTGGAAGCAGGAGGGGTGTGGAACATGGATGTCTGAGGAGATGGGACCACACATCATGGAAGCTGAGACTGAAAGGAGCAGCCAGGGCACATGGTCAGAGTGAAAGAAGAAGGCTTGCCTCGTGGGGCCTGTGAATTCCCAGGGCTGAGTTCATTCCCTCTGGGGCTGTCCCATACTTGTCCCTGCTACTCCACTAGCCCTCCCAAAGCCCATGCATACTCCCTACTCCCAAGCCGCTCAGCCCTCAGCCGCTTCCTCCCATGAACGCAGAGGGGTTCCCTTTCCAACAGCATTTCTCCCCCTCATGTATCCAGCTTGTCAGAAGCACCGCCACTGCCAACTTCTACCCCCATGAAAGTCCCATCTAGGAACTAAAGGGGAACAGGCATGGTCTCCCTGCTAAGAAACTGACAATTATCAGCACTAGAGGAGAGAGGAAATGGGCTTCAGGACACAGATTGCCACAGAATCCTGGTGGGGAGGGGGGAGGAGATTCCTTGATGCCTGGGTGTCCCCAACTTTCCAAACCTCTGCCCCCGCGATGGAGAAGAAACCGAGACAGAAGGTGTAGGGCCACTACCGCTTCCTCCACATGAGATCATGGTTTTCTCCACCAAGGAAGTTTTCCGCCGGTTGAATGAGAGCATTTCCCCGCCCTCTTGCCCAAGGGCTATAAAGGCAGCTGTCTGCACACCCAGACTGCAGAAGCTCTCTGAGCGAGGACACCAGGGGACCAACCCGGAGGGAGAACAGAAACTCCAGAACACCCTGGAAATAACTCCAGAAAAGCAAGCAGCCAGCCAGGCAGGTTCTGTCCCTCTCATACACCGGCCCAAGGTTCCACATCTCCTTCTGGAAAGAACACCATGAGCACAGAAAGCATGATCCGCGATGTGGAGCTGGCAGAGGAGGCACTCCCCAAAAAGGCGTGGGGACCCCAGAACTCCAGCCGGTGCCTATGCCTCAGCCTCTTCTCCTTCCTGCTTGTGGCGGGTGCCACCACCCTCTTCTGTCTGCTGAACTTCGGAGTGATTGGCCCCCAAAGGGAAGAGGTGAGTGCCTTCATTCTCACTCAGGCAGAAGCAGGGCAGGAGGGCAGAAGAGGAGCTAGGTGGGCTGATGGGTACAACTAATGTGGAGAGTGGTGAACCAGCCCATGTAGAGATGGCAGAAAGAGAAAAACAGAGAGATGGGACCTCTGACCCATGCACTGACCCAGTTCACTAAACTTCTGTTAAGTGGATGTGTGAAGGGATGAATGAATGAAAACTCATGCATGCATATGTAGAAATGTGGATAGAGATGTAGGATGTGGCCAGAAGGGTAGAGAAGTGAGCAATAATGATGGTGAGACAGAGGTGAAGGAGGCATGCATGATAAGGAGAGAGATGATGGGGAGATAAAGTGAGGTCAAGCACAGAAGATGCTTCATAGAAAGATGTTGCATAGTTGGACAAAGGAATGAGTGGAGAATGAACAAATGAAGAAGAAAAAAACCAGACATGGGGCAAAGAGAAAGAGCTGGGGGCTTCTCAGCTACTGGCTGCTAACCTTGTCTTTCTCTTCCTACACAGAAGTTCCCAAACAACCCTATCATGGGCTCCATGGCCCAGACTCTCACACTCAGTAAGTATTCCCAAAGCTCCTCTCTCAATTTAGGGTGGGGGCAGTTACACCCAGGATAGAAGCAATGGGGAAAACTTAAAGCTTTGGTTTTGGAGGAAAGGGAATAGATGTCCAAGTAGACAGATGCTTTCTGGGAAGCCTAAGGGTCTCATCTTTGCCTTTCTTCTCTCCCCTTCAGGGTCATCTTCTCAAAATTCAAGTGACAAGCCTGTAGCTCATGTTGTAGGTAAGAGCTCCATATGTGCATCTTGGGGGCAAATGGACAGGACTTGGGGGGTCAACCCAGGCTGAGAGTAACTTGGAGACAGTATGTGAAGGAGTCAAAGGGAGATGATTCAAAAACAAGAACTTAGTGGGGGTACTCAGAACCTCACGGCCAATGGGATGTGGGACAACAGAGGGCACAGAAACCGGAAATGAAGTGTGGGTAGAACTGGAGGCTCAGGATGTGGAGGGTGAACTAACAGGGTCACACTGACTCAACTCTCCCTCTCTCAGCAAACAACCAAATGGAGGAGCAGCTGGAGTGGCTGAGCCAGCGTGCCAATGCCCTCCTGGCCAATGGCATGTCTCTCAAAGACAACCAGCTAGTGATACCAGCAGATGGGCTGTACCTCGTCTACTCCCAGGTTCTCTTTAAAGGTCAAGGCTGCTCCAACTATGTGCTCCTCACCCACACTGTCAGCCGTATTGCCGTTGCCTACGAGGATAAAGTCAACCTCCTGTCTGCCATCAAGAGCCCCTGCCCCAAGGAAACCCCTGAGGGGGCAGAGCTAAAGCCCTGGTATGAGCCCATCTACCTGGGAGGGGTCTTCCAGCTGGAGAAAGGCGACCGGCTTCGTGCTGAGGTCAACCTTCCTAAATACTTAGACTTTGCAGAATCCGGACAGGTCTACTTTGGAGTCATCGCTCTGTGAGGCAGATGGGTGTCCACCCAGTATCTACCCAACCCCCACTCTGGCCCCTTTATTATCTACTCTTCAGGCCCCAGTCCATCTCCTTCTAACTCAGAAGGGGAATATGGCTCAGGACAGGCTCTGACTCACAATTTTCAGCAACTATAACACTCAGAAAAACAAACTGCAGGGTTAACAGCCTGGACTATGGAGTTCTCACCAACCACCCACCATCATGGATTCAAACAGGCTTCCGGAATTCGATGGAGCCTCAAATGTTGATTCCTGAGCTCTGTGAAGGTGGTTTGGGCTACCTCTGGCTGCTGAAGAAGATCTCAGGCCTTCCTGTCTCTGGATGTTTGCAGACTCTTCAGTACCCAGCCACCCTCACAGAGCCAGCCCCCTCTATTTATGATTGCACTTATAATTATTTATTTATTATTTATTATTTATTTATTTGCTGATGATTGTATTTATTTGGAAGGCCAGGGTGTCCTGGAGGACCCAGCATTGGGAGCTGTCTTGGGACTGACTTGTTTTCTGTGAAAACAGAGCTGAACTATCAGCTGTTCCCACCTGGGCTCCTGGCCTCATTGCTTCCTTTTTGCTTATGTTTAAAACAAAATATTTATCTAATGCAATTGTGTTAATAATGCTGATTTGGTGACCAGGCTGTCGCTACATCACTGAACCTCTGCTCCCCACGGGAGCCATGACTGTAATTGCCCTACGGGTCAGTGTCAGAAATAAAGATTGCTTGAAAAAGAAATACCATTTCTTTCTTGGGGTTAAGTCCTAGTCTGTCTCTCTCTGGAGGTGGGAAACCAACCCCTAATGTCTTCCCTCCAGAGGGATAAGGCCTTTGGGTCCAGATCACAGTCTTTACACCCCTGGCCCTTAAGACCCCATGGAACAAAAGCCAGCCAACATACCCCACCTGTCCCCCGGAAACAGGAGCCTAAACCTAATTACCTTTGCCTATGGGCATGGGAATTTCCCGCTCTGGGAATTCCAAATACCTACTGGGAAAGTACTGCTGTTCTTTCCGGCTGTTGTGTCTCCCATAGAGCTGGGGAGGAGCCACATTCTCAGGTACCTGAATCACAGCCAACACAGCCAAGGAAGTTCCAGAGCTTCAGGTGTCTGGACTCCAAACACTAACTGTGCACCCTGAACCATTCAACCTTCCCCTGAACAGAGACAGAGAGGGCACAGTCTGTGGAGGGAAGGGCTATCCTTCCTTGCTGGACAGGTCAGGCTCAGCCCACTCTGCCTCCCTCCCAGCCATCAGCTGCATTGTTCCTTCCATCCTCTGAAGATGAGAGAAATGTTTTTAAAAGACATACGGCCTGAAGTATGGTTCTGCAGTGTGTGTGTGTGGGGGGGTATATTTAGTATATGGGATGCCCTAAATTCAAACCCAAGACAGCAAGAACAAAGACAGGGGTACTATGTGGGTGGAAGAGCCATTGCCAGCTTTGGTTTCACCAATGTTTTTGACAAATGATGAATATGTGAGGTGGGTGGATTAGAAAGAGAAAAACACCTTGTTTAAATACTTTGTTTTTTTTTTTTTTTAAATTACTTAATCACACATGCAGGGTCTTGGATTTGATCCCAACACCAATAATAATAATAATAATAATAATTTTTTATTGTTGTTGTTATTCAGTAGTACTTGCTGAAGCATGTAAGACTGACTTTAGTCAGAATTACAGTTATTGGTGCAGAGACTTGCTGTAGAGTATATAGTGAGAGCAAGTGGGTCTTCAGAGACAGAGAGGGGTGGGCGTTGGGGAATGGCAAATGACTAAGAGGAAAGAAAAATCAGGGGTAGGGGGACTCTGTCTAAACAGATCAGACAAGACGCCTGTTGAGACAGGCCAGGTGATCAGACATCACCGCAGGGGCTGTGGAGGATGACTGAGGGTGATCAAATATGGGAGAGAAAGCTGGCTAAGCCAATCTAATGGGGTTTTTCACTAAAACTAGATTTTACAAGGAAAGCAATGACTAGGTGTAGGAGATTCAGAGGCCTGACTAGAGCTTAGCCAGAGTTGGTCACCCTCTCACCCCACTGGAAGACCCTTGTGCGGGCAGGCAAAAACAAACAAGGGGGGAGGGGTGTTTGTGGCCATGCCTTTAATCCCAACGCTCAGGAGACAGAAAAAGGTGAATCTTTGTGAGTTCAAGGCCAGTGTGGTCTACACAGAAAGTTCCAGGCTTGCCAGGGCTACATAGTGAGACGTGATCAGAGAAAGGAAGGAACAAAGGAAAAAAGAGAAAAAGAAAAAGAAAGGTAATGGATTTAAAAGTGGAACCCCAGAGAGTGGCAGCCCTTACCAGGCTCACGGTTGGTTGGGCCTTCCTTCGCCCCAGTAGCCAGAAAGGGGAAAACCAAGCACGTGGTATGGTGCCGGGTGTGGGGTGACCCACTCGGGTGACCTACATAGAGTGGGGTGACCCACTGCCTCCTTCAGCCATGGCGTAGGGGGACGGCTGTTACTCATTTTAGGGGCCTCATGTTGCTCAACTTTGGCGGGTGGGTGCCTCAAGTGTGAACTCAGGGTGAGGACTTTCCGTTTCTAGAAAGGACCCCAGGGCATCAGTTTCCTTCATGCACTCCTCCTCATGCACCAGTCTCCGCCCACTCCCTTCTCCCCAAGGTTCATTTCTTTAGTCTGCCCCCTTAACGTGTCTGGGACTGACCTGACCCTCCTTAAAGAACGGCTGTCTGAGTAGTCCATGGTGGCGCACACCTTTAATTCTAGCACTCAAGAGACAGAGGCCGGAGGATTCCTGGGAGTTTAAGGCCAGCCTGGTCGACATTTGAGACCTTATCCCAAAACAAACAAACAAACAAATAAAAGTCGTTAGGCAGGCAGCAGTGGGAAGCTAATGGGCCCACAGGGCTTTGTCCTTCAGTCTTTGGAGTTTTTCTCTCCGGGAACTAATACTGTCTACCTTCCCCTTTCCCGGTGTTGACTCTTCTCACAGTGAGGCAGAAGCTAGGAGAAATAGAGTATGTGAAGGGTCTCGTGGGACCCAGGTGTCCCTGGCATCAGGATGCTACAGGAAGTCCCAGGATTTAACTGTTCCTCCTTTCCTCCATCTGGACCCTTGGCGTTAGAACCAGGGGGTGGGTACAACAGGTGTCCACCGTTCAAAGCGAGGCCATTCACCCCTGCACCCCTACCCAGAATCAAACCACGCCTGCATGTCCGTGAGGATGCTGACACAAGCCAGCATAGTTTACATTCTTTATTTTCACAATTCATGTCCTATAATTTCCCTACCCCCCCCCCCCGATCACGGGGTCCCGACTCTCCGGACATCATGATTGACACATTCGCACCGTCAGTCCATCCTCCAGGGATGCAGATGGCTGTCACCCCACCATCACCGCCCCGAAGAAGGTCTTCCCTCTCCTGTAGTCCACCATGTCTGGGTGACTGATGTTGACATATACCCTCTCGCCGCTCCGGAGCTGCACCAGGCCGCCAAACCCCACGCTCGTGTACCACAAAGACCGGTACCCGACTGGGTCCACAACGGGGATTACGGTCTCTGAGCCCTCTAGCAGCAGCTCGGGGGAGCCCCGCCCGTAGGCGCCCCCGGCGCGGTACAGGGCGCTGCGCAGTGTGAGCGAGCGAGCGCGGCCTCGGCCGACAGGGGGCGCCCTGCCCCGGTACCCGACGTGGCAGTAGAGGTAATAGACACCGTCCAGCGGCAGCACTAGTCCATCGGTGCGAGAAAACTGCGTTCCGCTTCTCAGAAACGCTTCTTCTTGGCTCGCCTCCCAGCCGAGCCCTTGCCCGCTCATCCAAGCGCCTGCAGAGAGGGACACGCGTGGGTTCTCCGGCCTTGCTCTAGGATGGGGACCCCATAGGTTGAACCGGACCCCGAGCGAGCAGAGGGGCGGGGTCTTTCTCACTCCGTGGTACTCAGCGGGGAGGGGCGGGTTAAAGAGGACTGGCACTTTTCAGGTCTACCAGATGCTTACCAATGAGGTGGGCAGCAGGAAGCTCGAGACCGAGATCAGTTTCTGGTCCCCCCTTTGGCAGCCGTTGAACTCCTGGATCTGGTGAAGAATCCACGGCTGGAGGCAGGGTGGCCACCCATGCAGATGCCCCCTGAGAGGATGGGGAGACTAGATTCTTGGAAGAAGAGGGTATCTCGAGACGCAGACGGGGGTCAGGAGTCCCAGAGAGGCTGGAGGGTGAGGGCAAGAGGCAAGACGGTTTGTTGTCATCCAGTCTCCTTTGAGCCTGCGCTCCTGAGCCACTACTGATCTTCTCAACCTGGATGGTAGGATCACAGCACCGAGTTCAGATGCGGCTGATGGCAGCTCCACCCCTCCTAGCATAGAGCCAGGTCTTGGCTACCTCCAGCACCCTGCCTAGCATGCAGCTTGCTGTAAGACAGAGCAAACACAACATATACTCTTGGGCAGAAAGACAGGGGCTGGGTAACAGGAAGAAACGGCAACCAGGAAGAGGCTGCAACATCAGGGTAGGACTGCATAGAGAGCAGGCAGAGACAGAGCAGACATGGCCTCTGTGGAAGCCCCCAGCTGAGCTAGGGAGGCAAAAGCAGAGCCAGAGGCTAACGAGATGAAGCCATCTGGAGCCCGTTGCAGCCACTCACCCAACGTCCCTGATCCTGGGGCACAAAGGCCAGCACAGCCAGGACAGTGATGGGCACTGCCAACAGCAGGGTCACCAGGGAGGTGGCTCCTGCCACAGACAGCAAGAGGCAGCCCCTCCCCTGGGGCCTCCCACCCTGGCCCTGTAGTCCCCGTGTCCCCATCCAGACTCAGCACCACTACCGGGGGGATAGGGGCTTTCATACCTCGGGGGTAGGGACACCTCCTCCCTGCAGACCCACACACCTGCCTGGGACTTTCCGAACACCCCTGCTCCCCTCACACAGCTTCCTGTTTACCCAGAGCTGGGGTTAGAGCATGGTAGCTAGATGCCTGGGTTCTCTGAACTGGGGAAGAACATCGGGCAGAAAGAGGTTTTCATGGAAAAGGGGGGGGGGCTTAGCAGGGAGGAAAAATGAAGCCCAGAGAAGGAAGGTAGCTTGCAGAAGGCCAAGCAACGAGATTATAAAGAGCAAACAGGATTCCAGGTATTGCATATGGTCTGCATACTCTGGACCTCTCAGACCAGTGCTGGAGGGAGGGCTGTGTATGTGTGAGTGAGTACACACACACACACACACACACACACACACACACACAAACACACACACACACACACACAGTTAGGAGATCATGTGGGAGGCTAAGTAACTCTGGGCAGCTGCGTCTGCATCCTTGAGATGGCCAGTGGGCCCTACCTGGTTCTGGTTCTATTGGTATCCCTTAAAACTAAGTAGGGAAGGCAGAAATGTATTTATTTTTATTTACTTATTTATTATGCATACAATGTTCTGTCTGCATGTATCCCTGCAGGCCAGAAGAGGGCACCAGATCTCATTACAGGTGGTTGTGAGCCACCATGTGGTTGCTGAGAATTGAACTCAGGACCTCTGAGCCATCATCTCTCCAGCCCCAGAAAGGTAGAAATTAATCCAGTCCACGGTTATATGGCTTCATGAAGGGACCTCATCCTTGCTCTCTCTGAGGAAGGACCGAGGTAAAGGCGCAACGATAGAACACTGTAGAGGCATTCCACCTCAAGGGATGCAATCTAGAGTGAGCCTCAGGAGACATTCACCAAATGTTCATGAGTGAATGGCAGGATGAATGAATAATCCATTGAATTTCATGAACAGCAAGAACCAAATAAATGGATGAGGTGGCAGCTGATTGGAGCCTAAGGAAGACTAGATGTAAAGAAGTTGGACCAAGGTCTCAGATCATCTCCCCTTCCTGATGGCCCCTGCAGTGTCCCAGTCCAGACTGTGTGTCTGGGTGATAACACCAGCACAAACATTAATAGAATATAATTGTCAAACAAATAGCACTGAGAACCTGCTGGCCACCTATCTGTAGTCTTTATTATATTATGCATTTAATCTCCATGCCCGGGGCTCAGGGAGATTAAAGGCTGTGGCTGGGATGGGAGTGGAACCCACTGACAGAATGTTTGGCTCCTGGGTTTCATTTTTGTTTGTTTCTTTGTTTTTTGGTGACAGGGTTTCTCTGTGGCTTTGGAGTTTGTCCTGGAATTTGCACTTGTAGACCAGTCTCGAACTCACAAGTAATCCACTTGCCTCTTCCTCCCGAGTGCTGGGATTAAAGGCATTCATGCGCTGCCACCACCGCCTGGCTCATTTTTCTTTTTCTTTTTCTTTTCTTTTCTTTCTTTCTTTCTTTCTTTTTTTTTTAATAGTAAAGCAGTACTAATTTCAGTTTTTTTTTTTTTTACATTTTACTATATGTAAATCTTATCTTCCTGTGGCAAGGGAGAAAAATGAGGAAACAAATACTGAACTTGAGCAGCTCAGCTCAGAGGTAACAAGTAGCAATGCTTGCAACTTGATAAGATATGAGAAGTAGCCTGGGGATGTTGCCACTGGGTAGAGTACTTGCCTAGCATCCACAAGCTCTGAATAAAGCAGGTATGTTACCACAGGGCTGTCGTCTCTGCAGAATGATCCCAAAGCAAGTGTGAGGCCAGGCTGGGATGCAAGAGAAAGAGTTGGCATGCGCCTTTAATCCCAGCACTGGGGAGGCAGAGGCAGGCGGGTCTTTGTGAGTTTGAGGCCAGCCTGGTTTACATATTGAGATCCAGAGCTACCTAGAGAAATCCTGTCTAGAAAAACCAAACAACAACAACAACAAAAAAGATTTTTAAAAATGAGATAGGTATGTGATTCAGCAAACAAAATGTTTGCAGATCTAGGTCAGTGGTTCTCAACCTTCCTAGTGCTGCAACCCTTTAGTACAGTTCCCCATGTTGTGGTGACCCACATGCTGCTTTATAGCTGTAATTTTGCTACTGTTGTGAATCATAATGTAAGTATCTGATATTAAGGATATCTGATATGTGGCCTTCCAAAGAGGATTGAAACCCTCAAGTTGAGAACCAATGATCTAGTTGATAAGATTAGTTTATGGGGACTGAAGTGATGGCTTAGAGGTTAAAAGCACTTGCAGCTCTTGCAGAGGACCTCAGTTCAGTTTCTAGGACCCAGGTCAGGTGACTCACAACCACGTGTAACTCCAGCTCCAAAGGATCCAGTGCCCACTTCTAACTTCTGATGACAGTTGTTCTCATGTTTGTATACAGACATAAACACATAATTGAATTAATTAATTTAAATACACATATAAAATATAAGGAAATTAAATATAATTAAAAATAATCAAAACAAACCTTTTGGCATATATATATTTATTTGTTGCTAAGGTTCTTTCTGTTTTTCAAGATGTTTGAACTTTGGAAGTGTGTGTGTGTGTGAGTGTTTGTGTGTGTGGTATGTATGTAAGTATTCTTGCATGTGAGTGCATAGAGGACTTCAGGTGCTGGTCCTGGCCTTCCACCTTGTCTGAGACAGGGTCTGGTGTTGTCTTCTCTGCAAACTTCAGGCCAGGCACTCCCTATGCTCTTCCAGGAATTCCCTTTCTCCCCCCCCCCACCTCACAGCAGCAATACAGAATTTCAGAAGTGGCTGCCACACCCATCTTTATGTGGGTTCTGGGGACAAACTTAGGTCTTCAAGCTTGTGTGGCAATGGACTTTCTCTTCACTTGGTGTTTGAAATTTTTAATAAAAAAGTAAGGTGTGAGCCAGGCGTTGGTGGCACACACCTTTAATCCCAGCACTTGGGAGGCAGAGACAGGTGGATCTCTGTGAGTTCAAGGCCAACCTGGTGTACAGAGCGAGTTCCAGGACAAAGCAATACACAGAAATCCTGTCTCGAAAAAAAAAAAAAAAAAGGTATGATATAATAAAATATATATATATAAAGGAGAAAACCATTTAAACTATGGTTTGGGAAATAAGTACCATAAAATTCCCAAATTTGGTCAACAAAACATTCGTAGGAATCCAGGCCCAGGCCCCACATTCACTCATCTTCTGCTTCCGTTTTAGCTACCAGCCTTCACTCTGTGCAAAGACTTGGGGAACAGCCCTTGAACACCCCTCTCCCCCTCAGTCACAGCTGAGAGGCCTTCAGCAGGGTCTCTATTGCCCTTAGTTCTCTGCTCAATGCCAGAATGCTGTCTCCAGGATTCCCCACATCTTTGCTAGCACCAGCTTGTCACCCTGCATCTGCAGAAACAGTAGTACTGACCTAGACTGGCCACCTCGGGTTCTCCTGCTGCTGAAGTAGTACATCGATATCCGACTGCATATGGCCAAAGACCAGGATAGATACCCCAAGACACCCCAGAGCTCCATCTGGTGCTAGAGGTGCTGGGTATACCTGCCTGCACGCAAATGCTAAGCCCATGAACCTGAAGCAGACACAGCTGAAGGGGAATCTTGGTTTGAATTCATCATGGAAGGTCCCAGGAGGAGGTGAATGTTCATTCACAGGGTGAATTGGAAGGCTGGAACAGAAAGGGCAACCACACTGATAGTAGTCACATGTCTCAAAGGGAAGATGTTGCAACCTGTCTCCTGAAAGACCTTCACGTTCCCACTCAGGAAAAGAGACACCCCAAATCACTCACGAGAAGAGGTTTTGATGCAAATATCATGAGGAGTTTTTATTCTAAGTGCACTGGGGTCCACAGTCATATGCCACGCAGGGGTAGAGGACTGAGGACCTCAAGGGCAGAATTGAGATAGCTTTTATAGGATTTACATCAAAGCTAACAAGGCCAGTTTCAAAGCTAGCCTGTTATTTTCATTAGGTCTAAAAGCAAAGTCACGGGATAGTTCAAAACTTGGAATGGTTAGTAAGGTTTCCTAGGTTACAGAGATTTCATAGAGTACACAGTTTTTACAAGGCGGGACTGTTTAGTGCACGTGCAAAGTTAGGGAGTTTTCTTTCTCTAGGACCAGTGGGTTCAGTGGCCTTGTTCTTGAGCAGCTGGGAGAATGTATTCTCCAGTCAGGGAGTTATCTATATCTATTGGCAAAAGCACTTGTTCTTTTTAGTTTTTCCTTCTTCCCATGAGTCCCGTCTATTTTAGTTATTCATTTTCTTTGTAGACAGGATGACCCATAGCAATTCCCAGACTGTTGGTGTGGATAACAACATTCTTCAGAAACTAGGTGGTTATGAATAATAATAATAATTTCCAGAAACCGGTCATCGTGACCAAGCTATTTCATGTGTTTTTCTTTTTCCCTGAGCTTTGCATGCAGCTAGGGTGATTTTTAAATACACGCTGAAGGACTTTTTTTAAATTTCTAACTTTTAGTGGTCATTAGGGAGTTAGGCTGTGTTTTCGTCCTTTCACTCCCATGGTTATACCTCCTCTCCTAGATGTAGGGAGGTACAGAGGCAGGGAAAGGAGCTAACACCAGAGGGAGAGCACAAATGCCTGGGGTGGGGACATTTCTTTCCACTCTGGTGGCTCTGAACAGCTGACTGAGTAGCTTCTGTAAACCACAGAGTCTGGGGAAGCTACCAGTGGGTGTTGATCCTGCACCAGAGGGATACCCGCTAAGAGAGAGGGAAACAGACTGTGGATTTGGGGTTTCCTGAGCCTGAGGGAATCTTCTATATGCAGGTCCTATCCATGGAGCCCCTGTGGTGTTTTCCCTTTCCAGATGTTAAAAGAATCTATAGCCCAAAGTGGTGGCATGCTCCGTCATGCACTCTGTAGGCTGAGGCAGGAAGATGCAGAGTTCCAGGCCAGCCTGAGCTACTTAACAAAACCCTGTCAATAATAATTAATTAGGTAATCAATCAATTAATTATCTGTTCCTGATTCCACAGTTCCTTGGTCCCCTCTCCCATGCCTGTCCACAGCATTCCTTTTAAAACTAGGATGCTCTGGTTTCAAACTATCATCCCTAAGTCTGGTTCTTGGGTTACATTTTAGGGGCATTTTTCTGCCTTTAGACAGGAACCACATTAAACAGCAGGAAGTGCCCGAGGGAAGTTAAAGGCTTCAGACCATTCTTCTTAGCCACTTCTCCACACCAGCCAAAATAGGCTTTCCTGGGGATGGGGACCTTCTATTTTCTCAGTGGTCCCACACCTACTCCAGATCCGGGCTCCCTTGCCTTTATGGGCCCTCTCAGCAGCACCCAGGATCATGCAGTTTTTCTGGTCTCCTCCAAGAACCCCCCCCCCACCAGGCCTCTCAGCTCTGCCCCAAACCCATCAGCCTGGGACAGAGGAAATGGGGGAGGGGCTGGGGACAGTTAAATACTGTCTCTATTACTTCTGGGACTTCCTTAGGTTTTTGTTTGCTTTTGATACAGGACCTCACTCTGTAGCCCTAGCTGTACTGGAACTCACTGTGCAGACCAGGCTGGACTTGAACTCACAGAGATCCATCTGTCTCTACTGTCAGGCTCAGTGCTGGGCTTTCCTTGTTAAAGTCTCAGGCCTGTGGCTAGGAAAGGGGCACCATAATATATTACAAGACAGCCAGTCAAGGACAAGGTTGTAATGGGGCCCCTTGCCTCAGATGGGGAACTTGGAGGCCACGTGACTCGCCCAGGTCATTAAGCCCAGCAGAACAAGGATTAGTTTAGTCTTGACCTTCAGGCTTGTTCTCAGTACCTGGCTATGGCAGAAGAAAGTAAGTAAGGACTCCTCTGTCCTACAGGGGAAGGGATAGGAGTGCTAGAGAGTGAGGGGGTGGAAAGTGGGGTTCATGGTTAAGAGAGGTGGTCAGAACAAACCCAGAACTAACCAGTGCAGGTAAGAGTGGGACTTCTAGAGGCCCAGAAACAGCAGGGTGTGGGTGAGAAGTCAGGAGGGGGTGAGAGGTCTCAGATACCAGGAAAGGTAGCCGGCCAGACATATGTGAATCTCTAGAGGAAGTGATAAGTTGAAGTCTTGGTAAAGAAAGTGCCTTGGGCTGGCCACATAGATCAGAGTGTTCCTGAGCAGACAGGAAGCCCTGGATGACAGCCCCCGTGGCACAAACTGGACATGGTAGTGCCTCCTGCCAGTCCAGTGCCAGGGGGGGGACAGCACCAGAGGTCAAGCTCATGTGCTCTCTGCATAGAGACTTCAGGAAGTTTGAAAGCAGCCTAGACTATAGACGAGCCTACCCCGTAAAAAAAAATGGGGTGGTGGTGGCGCATGCCTTTAACCCCAGCACTTGGGAGGCAGAGGCAGGCTCTGCCTCTGTGAGTTTGAGGACAGTCTATTTTACAGAGTGAGTTCCAGGACAGTCAAGGCTACATAGAGAAACCCTCCTAGATTATATTTCCTGCATCTAAAACTGTTAGAAAGTGGTAGAGCCCTGGCTTTAGCACATAAAACACAGAACCACATAAGACATGATGGTAGTCAGTGCACACTTAAAAAACTTAGCACTCAGGAGGTGAAGGCAGGGGGATCAGAAGTTCAATCATACTTGGCTCCAGGAAAAATGTAAGACTCTGCCCACAGGAAAGAAAGAGTCAGAATGGTGGGAGCAGCACTGGTTGGGAGGGCAGGGGGAGAGAGGGAGGGAGAGAGGGTAGCGGGGAGGGAAGAGAGAGCTGGGGGTGGATATGATCGAGAGACTTTGTATATATGTATAGAATTGTCAAAGGACAGAAAGTAAGTGGAGGGGGGAAGGGAGAGAAGATAAAAGAAAGAAAAAGGGGGGAAAATTAAAGGAACTGTGAAACTTACATTTAACCAGGGGGTTGGGAAACCAGGGAGGGAAAGGCCCTCTCATACCCCCCTTTCCACCCTACAGAAGAAAAGCTGCTCAAGTATGGGGCCTTGGGGCTGGGAGGGTTCCTTCTTTTGTTTGTCATCACCCTGTCCATCTGCCTGTGCCGGATCCACCAGAGAGGTGAGCCCTACTGTCACTTCACACAGCCATCCTCAGCTTGCCCCTCATACCCTTCCTACTTCGAGGGCAAAAGTCCCCTCAGTCCTGTCAGATCCTGGTAGGAGAGAAGAGAGGCGTGTCCAAAAGGCCCAGGCTTCGAGTCTGCAAGTAAGGTGTGGGGGACCTGCTGTGTTGTAGAAGGCTGTGTGGGGTAGAGGGCTACACTGGGACTGGGGCTGGAGAGCTGGGGTGGGGTGCTGTTCTATGGAGTGGTGCCCTTCTGAGGTAGTAGATCCAGTGTGAGCTGCTGTCCTACGGTGGATGAGCCAGTTTGGGGTGCCATTCTGGGGCGTGGAGCTGGGGAGGGTCTCGCTGAATCCCTCCCCCCTTTTTTTCTTCCAGTGAAGAGACTGGAAAGGAATAAGGTAAGTCTGAGAGTTGAGGGGGTGAGGGAAAACCCAAGTAGGGAGTGGGGCTGGGACGCAGGGGTGGGAGCCAAGAGAAAAGGGAAGAGGAAGCAGAAGGGAAGGAGAAAATGAGAGAGGCACAAACAGAAACAAAAGCACTGAGAAGAAGGGGAGGAAATGGTGTATTTATAAGAGTATAAAACAAGTCCAGAGCAATGACCAAGAAAGGAGGATGTGAGAGAGGAGATTAGAGAGACAGAAAGATTCCAGGACAATCAGGGCTACAGAGAGAGACCCTGCCTCAAAGCAACACCAAAAGCAGAGAGAGAGAGAGAAGGGGTGGGAGTGTGTAGCAATGTGGGTTAGTTAACAGCATCTATCTGGCATGCACAGAACCCTGGGTTTCCAAAGCACAGCATAAAACCAGAGCAGTGGCACACGCCTGAAATCCCAGGTACACACAGGGAGGCTGTCCTCAACTACACATCTAGGTGAAGGCCAGCCTGAGCTACATGAGAACCCGTCTCAAAGAGATGTTCAAAGAAAAGTGCTTGCTGCAGCCTGCCATGGTGGCCTGTGTCTGGAAACTCAGCACTGTGAGGTGCAGCCAGGCAGGTCCTAGGGGCTCTCTGGTCAGTCAGCCTAGTGGGAATAGCAAATCCCAGTTTTAGAAAAAAGACTCTGTCACAATAGTAATAATAATAATAACAATAACAACAATGTGTAGAAACAATTAGAAAGGCGTTCAAGCATTCTTCTGGGCTATAGAAGCACAGGCGTACGTGCACGCATGCACATGCACACACACACACACACAAAGAAGAGGAAAAGCAAGAGAGAGACTGAGAGTCAAAGAGAGACACCTGTAAATGGGTGGACAGGAGGGGGTTTCAGAAAACAAAAAAGAAAAAGGAGATTGAGGCTTCAGAGAGAAAGAAAGATGGGAGCTAGGGCAGGGCCCTCATCATAGTGTCCTCTGCCTGGCCAGGCCCAGAGCCCAGTGCAGGAGCTCCACTATGCATCTCTGCAGAGGCTGCCAGTGTCCAGCAGTGATGGCACAGACAGAGAGGAAGGCGAAGGCATGAAAGAGGATCCCAGCACTGACTATGCCTGCATTGCCAAGAATAAACCCACCTGAGCACCCCCAAATGCCTCCCTCGACCTGGATGGGTGGTCAAAGTCACCCTGGGTTCACCTAGTAAAGACTGGTTCCTTACTTCCGTGTCAGGCTCCTCTGTAAGTCTCCAGGCCATCGCTAACCCTCCCACCCGTTTGGGGTCAGTTGTTACTTGAGTGTGGAAAGCCAGTAAACAGCTGTGGTCCTCAAGGCAGAGTCGACAAGGGTTCAAATCGGCTCTGGTAATCTCCATTTCTCAGCTGCTGTAGCCATAGTCTCAGAGCCCAGGACAAAAGGATGTGGTGCAAGCAGCTCTGAGCCTTGAGGCCAGCAAGTCTGTCTCTGGACCTTTCTGCACCAGTCCTGGTGGAAGGGAGAGCTAATTGGGGTGAAGGGGGCCGGGGTGGACAGAAGCACAGAGGGTTGTCTGAAGAGTAAGAAAATACATGGGAGTCCTAAGTAGGAGAGAGGAGCAGATACAGATTTATTGCTGGTCTTTGAGGTTTTTGAATCATTCCTCACAGGCTGTGGGAAGGGTGCCGTGTGTTCCCATGTGACAGGGGCCTGGGGAGAAATGGGGGGAGGTGCTTCAGAACTACAGTCCTGAAGCTCTCTTCTCGAAGTCTCTTCCTCCCATTTCTGCCACCATTGACCCTGCTCAGCAACTCACATTTGCCCTGATAATAGAGGGTGCTGCCGATGGCCACAGAGAGAAAGCTGAGGGCGTAGAATCCTGCCCGGAGGAGGAGACTTTTGTGGGCTACTTGTTCTGAACTGGAGGCTTGATGAGGAGGTTCTGCAGCAGGACGTGGAGAGAAAGGAGCTTAGGAACTCAGAGCTGGGGACATTACTTCACGCCCAGGAACATTGCACCTTGGGGTATCCCACCAACTCACCTTTCTCCACCACCAGCTGAGTCCCATTTCCTGTTCCAACACCCAGGCCTAGCACCTCCACCCTGCACACATAGATTCCAGTGTCATGGCTTTGGGCGTCCAGTATGAGCAGCTCTGCCTTGTGGTCCCTGATGAATCGGGGAACAACAGCAAAAGAGGCCACACGGCCCCTGAACTCTGGGGTCATGTTGCTCACCTCCATCCCCGGGGCCACTTTGTCTTGGTACCATGTGACGGAGCCAATGGCCTCTGTCCCTCGGCTGGCATTGAAGGAGCAGGGCAAGAGGGCAGGGTTGCCCTCTTGGACATGAATCTCAAGGGGCTGAGACACAAAGAGAACACAGGATCCTGGGAAGAAAGCAAACAGCCAGAGAACAGCTATTTAGTTACTCCAAAGAAAAAGGCATTCGGAGGACACCCCACCTTTCCTCATGGGGTTGTGTCAGGACAAGCACCCTAGGGTGTCTCATTAAGCCCTTTCCTCTTCACTAATTTAATTTCTTAGTTTTCAACTTCTTTCACACACCAACTCTGGCTCATTTACAGCCAGCCTTCTCTAGAAACCATTTTGCCCAACTGATCCTCATGATATGCTTGAAATTCAGGACTGAATGTAGTTACCTGGCTAAGTATCTCCATTGTGGCACCACTCTAGATATTATTATTGTGATGGGAGTTGTTTTTGCTTTATGTTTTCTTGGGTTTGTTTTGTTTTGATTTTGATTTCTGTACATCTGACACAGACATAGATGCAGGCAAAATGGCAACTTTTTTTTTGAGACAGGGTTTCCTCTGTGTAACAGCCCTGGCTGTCCTCTGTAGGCCAGAATGGTCTCAAACTCACAGAGATCCACCTGCCTCTGCTCCTGAGTACAAAAAAAAAAAAAAAAAGAAAAAAGAAAAGAAAAGAAAAAAAAGAAAAAGAAAAAAACCATATTGCTTAATTTTTTGAGATATATTTTTTAATTTAATTTAAAAATATTTTATATGTATATGTGTTTTGTCTACATATATGTCTGTGCACCACATGCCTGCCTACTGCCTGTGGAGACCAGAAGAGAATGCCAGATCCCCCAGAACTATAGAGATCCCCCAGAGTTATAGAGGGCTGCTAGCCACCATATGGGTCCTGGAAATTGAACCTGGCCTTATGGAAGAGCAGCCAGTACTTTTAACCGCACAGTAACCGCCTTTACATATTAATTTTAAAGCTAGATTTGGTATTGGAGATCCTGCCACCAAAATAAACATTAAATTAAAAAAATAATTGTGAGCTGATTATGATGACATAGGCCTGTCATCAGGCACTCTGGAGCCTAAGCCAGGAATACTGCCAGAAGTTCAAAGGTCAGCTCAACAACACTACGTAGAGAGTTTCAGGTCATCCAGGGTAATGTAGCGAGACCCTAGTTAAAAATAGAAGAAGCCCAATCATTCAATTAATCAATCAGTAGAACATTACCATGGGCTGGCCCACTAGAGATATGCAGAAGAGCCTGAGAATCTGCCCAATGGTCCTAGCATTGATGATCTTGGGTCTACAGTTTGAAAAGCACTGTATGTACTCAACAAACATAGCTTTTTTTTATGTTCTTCTTATTAATTAAAATCTGTTTCAGTTAAAAAAAAAATCTTAACCACAAGTCTCTAAAACTCCTAAATATGTATTTGTGCCCTATCTAATAGACTTAATAATCTAATCGACCTCACACAACAAGTTGAACCCTGAAAAATGAAAATCAGAGTGGTGAGACGGCTTAATTGATAAAGCCCCAGCCACAAAGCCTGATGACCTGTGTTCAAGTCCCAGGATCCTGGTAACAGAAGAACAGACTCTTTGCAGGTTATTCTTTGATCTGTGTGAACCTTGACAGGTGTATACTCTATCTCCAAAATAAGTTGATGTACTTTTAAGAATTAAAAACATTAAAGAGGCCAGGCAGTGGTGGCGTACATCTTTGATCCCAGCACTCGGGAAGCAGAGGCAGACAGATCTCTGTGAGTTCGACGCCAGCCTGGTCTACAGAGCGAGTTCCAGGACAGGCTCCAAAGCCACAGAGAAAATCTGTCTTGGAAAGAAAAAAAAAAAAATCAAAGAAAGAAAACCAGCTGAGTGTGTTAGTATGAGTGTCTCAGCACTCAGGGGCCTAAGGGGACAGGGGGCTTAAAGGCCAGGGCCAGGCTGGGCTACACAGCCAGGGCTAGGAGATTAGCTCCTTTGGTTGCATACTGGAAGCCCTGGTTTTTGTTTTGATCCCTAGCAGCACACACATCGATGCACCACTGTAGTCCTAGCAGTTGGGAGGTGGGCATGAGAGAACAATTCAAGGTCATCATCCTTCCCTGTATATGTCTGAGGCACTGTCTCAAAAACAAACAAGCAAAAACAACACAGCCAGCCAAATCAAAATGCCATCCCTCCTTTTCCACCAGTTTTTCCTGGGGTCTTTCAGGTTTATCTTTCTTGAAAGAAGGTGGAGAATTAAAAAGGCTCTGGAATGGATGCTAGAAATGACTCTTCGGGTGGGGCGACCAAGCAGGTCTGCCTTCCGAGTCCACAGGCAATAGCTTTCTGAAGTGCTTTTCTGTATCCCTCAGGGCACAGTGTTCAGCCCCCACCAGGCACCCTCTGAAGCATCTAAGTCCTCCCCAACACCCACACCCTGGGTCCCGAGCAAACTCCCAGTCACCTGGATAAACCATGATGCAGAAGAGCAACAGTGTCTTGGCCATGTCTCCAGTTAGTGAGGCAAGCGTGGTGGACCTCGGCAGTGAAGTTTGAGTAGAGGAGGAATGGCATGAAGCCTAGGACAAGCAGGACTCATATGATTTGCCAAGGACCTCCGCTGCTTGGGGCTTGGAGAATCATAAGCACGTCTTGCTAAGGAGGGAGATGGCACTGATGGAGATGCCTGGGGCTCTCTGGAGGCAGCTAGTGGTCAGGTGGTATACTAGGACAGGATATCCTCACATCTGATTTTACAAGAGTAGGTAGGTGAGACCAGGATGTGGTTCTCTCACCTTCTGAGGTTCAAGACCAGACCTTCACCCAGAACAAACCTCCAGCTGAGAAACTAGCCCTCCTTCCTCTCCCCTTTGTTCAGCTGTTCCCAGGTCCTCTGCCTCCATGTCTCACTAGTTTGGCTTTCCCTCGGGGCTGCCCTAGGACTTCTATAAATTAGAGTGGGGGTAGGGGAGCAAGCTAATTGGTGGTGTATACCACCTCCAAATAGTGACCGGCAGCAGGAGGCCCCTCCGACCCCAGTCCCTGTAGAATAGCTCTTAACAAAACCAGAAACAGATGATGGGGCAGGTTCCCATTCCAAGGATGCCTCCGGATGCTCTCTGTCTCCGACCAGGAAGTAAGAGAGCGAGCTGGGGTTGGGGACCCCAGACCTAGTCCCCACGCCCCAGTGGGCATGGTCAGTGCAACAGGTGCGGGCGGGTGGATATCTCACTATAGTGGTGGGTGTGTCTGGAAGCTTCATTTGCACAGGTTGGACTTTCATTCCCCCAGCTGGGTTGACAGGGGAGTGAGTGTTATTAATGGATATGTTTCACTCATTTGTTTTCACTTTCCTGAAAAGGTCATTCCCAGCAAGTCAGCTCTACTGTGCTTGCTACACAGACTTAACCACTGGGAAATCCATTCATTTGTTATTTTATTGACATCAGATAGTCTGGAATTGGAGTTACAGAGTTACGTATGGTTGTGAGCCACCACATGGGTGCTGGGAATTGAAGTTCCATCCTCTGCAAGAGCCACAAGTGCTCTTGGCCACTGATCATCTCTCTAGCCCTTAACCTCATCTTTTAAACCAATACATGTCTCTCTCTTTGCATCTGTCGTAGCTCTGTTTCAAAACATATTGTCCAATTGCTTCCCAGCCACATGGCTTTCTGTTGAAGAAACAATAACCTCAATATTAAGACTGGCTTAGCCCAACAGTGGAGGCACACACCTTTAATCCCAGTACTCAGGAGGCAGAGGCAGGTGGATTTCTGAGTTTGAGGCCAGCCTGGTCTACAGAGTGAGTTCCAGAACAGCCAGGGTTACACAGAGAAACCCTGTCTTGAAAACCCAAATGGAAAAGAATGGCTTGAAACCCTTCCAGAGCGCCCTCTCTCCCAAACCACTCTCTCGGCAACCTTTATAACCATAGGTGTCACACAATCTGGGAAGGCCTCCCTGGTCGACTGGCCACCAGAGCTGTGGAGAAGCCTACCCACTTAGGCAACTAAGCCAAGGGTGCGGAACCCAGGTTCCGTGGGCAGTTATGTGCTGCCCCCTGCTGGCTATGGAGCCTAGGATGAGACATTTAGCCTATTCTCCACCAAGCCTCATTTCCCAGCCCAGAAAGTCAGTGTAGGGAATACTGTCTTCTTCACCACATGCCCATTGTTTGGGAAGGGAGAGGAGGTACAATGGCCTTCTGACTTGAGATGAAAGCTGCATTTTCTTACTTTTGTCTTAAGCTTTATTTTTATGTGTGAGGGTGTTTTGTCTGGATGTATGTCAGGCTACCATGTGTGTGCCAGATGCCCACAGAGACCAGAAGAGGACACAGAATGCCCTAGCATAGGAGTTACATGGAGTTGTGAATTGCCATATGGGCTCTGGGAATCAAATCTGGAACAGCAGCAGGTACTCCTAAGTGTTGAGCTGTCTGTCCAGCCGCCAAACTATATCTTCAAAGTGCACACTGATTCCATGACCTGAGGAATAATGGTTTACAAGTGATGCTGAACTGCACTTCACATTGACTACTTGCATGCACAGAACCACAGCTATTAACTTCCAGATGCCCCCATGCTAGCTACTCAGTGTATATAGGTCTCCTCCTCCCTCGTGGGCTGGAGTGACCTGAGAGATGGCTGGGTCTAAACATAAACTCCCAATGGGTTCTGTTGAGTTTTATGGTTCATGTTTCATTGCCAGCAACTGCAGCAAAATAACACTCTGCTCTCCCCTTCTGTTTTTGCCACCCAAGACTTCCAACCCTCTTGCCATGGCTATGGACTCTGAAGACATTACTTGAATGTTTTTCTCATTAGTCCATGTCTTAGTCAGAGTTACTATTGCTGTGATGAGACACCATGATGAACGGAAACTTGGAAAGGAAGAATTTATCTGGCTCACACTTCCACATCACTGTTTGTCATCCAAGGAAAGTAAGACAGGAACCCACCCAAAGCAGGAACCTGGAGGCAGGAGTTGGTGCAGAGACCATGGAGTAGTGCTGCTTACTGGCTTGCTCCCAGTGGCTTGCTAGCTCAGCCTGCTTTCTTATAGAACCCAGGACCACCTCCCCAGGGATGGCCCCACCCACCAATGAGCTGGGCTCCCCCATCAATCACTAATTAAGAAAAAGCCCTAGAGGTCTGCCTGCCTACAGACCAATCTGCGGGCATTTTCTAAGATGAGGTTCCCTTCTCTCAGATGATTTTTGCTTCTGCCAAGTTGACAAAAAACTATCCAGGGCAGTCCATCTAGAGTAAATCATGGTGTGTGTGTATTTAAGAACTTTCACTACCTCTGAGACTATCCAAGGACAGTTTTATTATTTATTTCTGTGTTTGTGTATTTATTTATTTGAGACATGCCCTAACTATGTAGTTCTTGGCTGGCCTAGAACTCTCTCTGTAGACCAGCCTGGCTTCAAACTCACAGAGATCCACCTACCTCTGCCTCCCAAGTGCTGGGATTAAAGTTGTGCACCACCACAGCCCAGCTCAATTTGATATTTTAATTAATAAACTTGAGACATGTGTCACTCTATGAGTATGTAGACCAGGCTAGCCTCAAATTTCCAGCAACTTCTTGAGTTGAAAAAAGAGTTTTTGGGGTTAGAGAAACAGCTGTCACTAAGTGCACACTCATTGGCTGCTCTACCAAAGGACCTGCATGGTCCATGGCAGCTCCCACCCTCCTGTGACTCCTGCCTCAGGCCTCTGGAATAGAAGTGGTACATAGTCATAGACATCCAGGCAAAGATCCCACACACAGTTAAAAAAAAAAAAAAAAAAAAGAGCAATGGTGTTCTGCCCTATATGTCTTTATTAAAATTGACCTTCAAAGTAAGACATGGCAGCACTACCTTCAAATCACAGGCTTAGGTGGCAGAGGCAGGAAGATCAGTTGCTCAAGGCTGGCTTCCGGGCAAGTTTGAACTACATAAGTAGTTCAAGAAGATGAAAAAGAGGCTGGACAGTGGTGATGCATGCCAGGCCAGCCTGGTCTACAGTGTGAGTTCCAGGCCAGCTAGGGCTGTTACAAAGAGAAACCATGTCTCGAAAAACATGGGGTGGGGGGAGATGAAAAAGAGAAAAGGTTTTACAACTTTTTCACACACATCACTTGATATCTAGCCCACTGGCTACAGAAACTTGAAAGAAATCTTTGCAGAGCGGGTGCCTAAAGATGAGTGTTGGCCTTAGGGGAGGTTTGGGCTACTGTGACCTCGTGGAAATGCACCATGATGATAGACACACCGATGTTCTCCCTACTACCTTCTGCCAGGAACTCCTCCATAGCTCCAAACAACTGGAAGTCAAACACACCCTCCAATGCGGTCTGCACAGGTTAATCTCCTGGGCAAAGAGCAGAGCTAGAGAGGGAAAATGAAGGGTGACAGAAGACTCTCAGAGTACAAACACACACACACACACACCCTTGCACATTCTGGCCAGTGCATTTTTTTTTTTTTTTTTTTTTTTTTTTTTACAGGCAGCACAGTCAGCATAGTCATTCCCCCTGGAGAGCATAGAACCATAATAAGGGCCCTTAGCAACAGAGGTTGTCTCTAACCTCAGAGAGTTCTAACAGATCCTTCCTCATCCCAAGTCTCTTCTGGTATATTTTTTCCTTTAATGCATTTATTCTGTGTCTGTCTGTGTGCATGCCTGGAGGGGTTAGAGGTCAACTTGTGGAAGTCTGTTCTTTTTTGCCCTCTACCATGTGGGTTCTAGGCTTCCCACTCACATCTTTGAACTTGCTGTAACTTAGAGCCATCTCCTTTGCCATTTACATTCCATGTAACACTAAGATATATAGCCTCCACTCACTTCTTGGGCAAAACTCCTAAAACCCCTACAATTTCCTAAGTGGTAAAGGTTAAAGGGCATCTTCTGTGTATCATAATAAGACCCTTTCAATTGGGCTTATGTTAATAGGGTAACTTTTGGAAAGTCCCTAAAGATAGAAGTCTTGTTGCTAAGGGCAGGGATGGGAAAGGAGACTATATAACTTCTAACTCTAATGATTTAATGGCTCATCCTAGCATGATGACATGTACTTAACACTCACAAAGATGGGGGTCGGAGAGCTGTCAGGGAAGGTGGTGCCCAAGGGCATGGAAGCTCCAGACCCATCTCCCTAGTCTCTCTCATCTGTTCCATTCACAATCACTCTTTTTGTTTGTTTGTTTGAATTTTATTTTGTATACAGTGTTCTGTATGCATGTATCCCTGCAGGCCAGAAGAGGGCATCAGACCTCATTACAGATGGTTCTGAGTCACCATGTGGATGCTGGGAATTGAACTCAGGATCTCTGGAAGAGCAATCAGAACTCTTAACTGCCGAGCCACCTCTTCAGCCCCCCCACTATCACTGTTAAATACTTTATAATGAACCAGCAAATGTGGGCAAGGTGCTTCACTTGAGCCCTCAGGGCCAGCCTAGCAAGTAACCAAGAGAGGCTTGTAGTGTTCTTGATTGACAGAGCTGCTTGTCTAGAAGTACAAGAGGCCTGGACTAGTGACCAGCATCTTAACCTGGAGCAGTCTTGTTGGATAGAACCCCTCCACATGGAGGACTGGAAGGCAGTGCCAGATATGAATTACACTATAGGACACTTGATCAGTTCCCACCAAGAACTGGGGAACTGATTGCTGTGGGAAAAAACCCTGCCATGAAATGCAGTAACTAGGAAACTGGTTGGACCCAACTCCTGCAAGTTGTCATTTGCCTTCCATACAAGTCCTGTGGCATGCATGCCTGCACACATAGGCACAGCAAATAATTAGAATCAAATTAAAATAAAAACAGTGTATTTTTTTCCCTTTTTACCCAAGTATCTCTTGCATCTCTGGGAGTCAATTTCTCAGGCCATCTCTCCTGACCATGATATTCAGACCCGCCCTCTACACCCAGACATATAGACCCACCCTCTACACACCAACCCGCCCTCTGCACCACTGTAGACCACAGCGTCAGACTTTTCATTTGTTGGTTCACCAGGCCTAGCGTGCTGCATGAACATGGCTGGAGAACTGTCCCCACTAGACACTGAGAGTGCCTGGAGGGCAGGGCTGCGTCGCTCTCTGCAGCAGGAGAGAACAGCTGCCACAAAGGCAGGCAGGCAAGAGGCTAGAGTCTTCTGCCAGAATCTCCCCACCACTTGGGTCAAGAAGAAGCAGAGTGGAAGGGGGGCATAACCTGGGGAGGGAGAGCAGAAGGGAAGGGGTCAGAGTGTGCAGATTCACAGCCCTGGCCCCCTGGTGACCCAGTGACTGAAGTGAGGAAGGCTATTCCTATTCCTGGGGAGGGCATTTGCATGAGGTCAGACCCCTGCTCAGCTCATGGTGAAGCAGGAAGTGCCTCAGTCCGCTGCCCTTTCAGTCTCACTTCTGTCCCTCCAAAGCTTCTCAAGTTCTCAAATGCCTCACTAGACTCTACTAAAGGTTTCAAAGTAGCTGAGGCAGGAGGGCAGTGGGACTGCACACCAACAAACCCAAGTCATTCTGGAACATGCTTCCCTGTGTCCTACTGCCCCTCTGGGGCCTGAAAGAAGCCCTGGCCTCAGCTTACCCCAGTCCTGGATGGGACTGCAGACTTCTCTCTTCCACAACTGCCTGTCTTAACCTGCATCATGAAGCCCGAGGAAATCTCAAGTAAACACCCCCCCCCTCCCCCGGGGAAAGCCACTACCACAGTGCCTCACTTCTTTGGTTCTGGTTTTCGTTTGAGACAGGTTTTTACTATGTAGACCTGGCTGGTCTCCAACTCCCAGGATCCTCCAGCCTCAACCTCTCTCAGGTATTGGGATTGCAGGTCTGAGGTACCACCCTGGCCCCCTCAGGTCCTGGTTCCCTTCTATAACTCCAGGGTCTGATCAGCGCTTCTCCCATGTACAGTCTGCTTTCTTGGAGGAATTGTGTAGAGCTAGGTATGGTGCAGGACTGCAGCCCCAGCCATTCGGGAGGCTGAGGCAGGACAACCAGTTGAACTCAAGCACTTGGACAACATAATGAGACCCTGCCCCCCACCAAAAATAAGTAAAAAATAAAACTCTCTTATCTGAATGTAATTTGTTTATCCCCCTTTTAAACCCTCTCTGCCTTTTTCGTGATGTGCTAGTTTCAGCAGAAGTGAATGGGGAAGTGATAACTAGGAATTAACAAAGAAGGGAATGAGTAGAAAGGGAAGTACGAGAGAAGTCCCAGAGGAGACGGGTGGAGAGACAAGCCAGCAGAGAGACCACCAGGCTGATCATCTGCTCAGCTATGAGCCAAAGCAGGGATTTGCAGGGTAGGGTAGGTGGACCACACAGCATCGGGAGTCAGGATGAGTCAGGCCTGGGCTGGGGAGTCAGGAGAGCAGAACTTGGGTAACCCTGGTTTGGGCTGGACATGGGGAGCAGGAAAGGAAGGGTAGGGTGGTTAACCTCTGTTCTCTCAGGAGGAAAAGCTTTTGGACTGCTCAAGGCCCAGCAGGAGGAGGGGCTGGATGAGATCAACAAGGTAAGATAAATAATCAAAGGGTTAGAGTCTGGAGGGTTCCCAGGCAGAGAGAGGTGACCCTGGCTCTGTTCTGGCCCCAATAGCAATTCCTGGATAATCCCAAATACAGCAGTGATGAGGACCTGCCCTCCAAACTGGAAGCCTTCAAAAGTGAGAAGTGTGGATGGAGAGGGAAGCTGGGGTGGGGGTGTGGGGGACATAGGGATTTACAAGAGTTGGTTTTCATAGTGGAAGAGGGCAGACTGCCTTTGTGCATCTCCTTCCTGTTTGTGGTCCTTTTCTCTGCCCTACCCATCTTACAGTCCTTACAGGCTCCTGTCCTTCACCTTCACAGACCCTCACAACCCACTATTCCTACTTCCTCTGCCCACCCCTCCCCTCCTTCCACATCTTCCACACTCTTCGGGCATTGGTTACCTCTTCCTTAAACCCCCATAACCAGCAAGTCCACTATGCTCTTTTTATTTCCTAGAGAAGTACATGGAGTTTGATCTGAATGGAAATGGAGATATTGGTGAGAAAAAGAGGGTTTGGGGGAGTGTGCAGACCTAGGCAAAAGGAGGTCTCTTCTTGTAGCATTGTCCCCTGTGGACAAGCAAAGGTCCAGTCACAGTTGACAATACAAGAGTTGGGGATGGGTGCATGGGGGTACAGGATGGCAGCAGAGGGGACCCTCCTCTCTTTCCCACCTTCAGATATTATGTCCCTGAAGCGAATGCTGGAGAAACTCGGGGTTCCCAAGACCCACCTAGAGCTAAAGAAATTAATCAGAGAGGTGTCCAGTGGGTCTGAAGAGACGTTCAGCTACTCTGACTTTCTCAGAATGATGCTGGGCAAGAGATCTGCCATCCTGAGAATGTGAGTACCCAGTTCTTTTTTTTTTTTTTTTTTTTTTTTTTTTTTTCAAGACAGGGGTTCTCTGTGTAGCTTTGGAGGTTGTCCTGGAACACACTTTGTAGACCAGGCTGGCCTTGAACTCACAGAAATCTGCCTGCCTCTGTCTCCCGAGTGCTGGGATTAAAGGGGTGCACCACCGATGTCTGGCTTGTGAGTACCCAGTTCTAACCTCCCTCAACTTCTCTGTCTTCTCCAGTCATAGCCCTAACCTTGCCCCTGGCAACCACCCTTCCTTCTTAGAGGGACTCTTCTAAGATCCTTCATTATCCACAACCCATCCATGATTCTGTTCCCACAGTCCCCAGCAGTCTTCCCTGCCCTTATTCTTCCTCCCCTTCTGCACTCTTGCCACAGCCTAAGAGCTGTTCCCTTGAGAGATGCGTCTCTGATGCCCATGTCTCTTGCAGGATTCTGATGTATGAGGAAAAAAACAAAGAACACCAGAAGCCAACTGGTCCCCCAGCCAAGAAAGCTATTTCTGAGTTGCCCTAATTGGAGGATGTCTGCATGGTGGGATGGATGGGGCATCTAATGGTAACAGCATGGAAAAAAAGAGAAGCAGTTGTGCGCCCGAGTCAAACTAAATAAATAATGCTCCCCTACCTGTGCAAGTCAGCTTTGATTTTTATTGGGGGACATCTGGCCTGGGTCTGGAGAGAAAGGAAACATCGTAGCCCTAATAATCCATCTGTCCAATATTGAATGGATTTGCTATAGTGGATAGCAGATAGAGATTCAAAATTCCAAGACAGCTTTGACCTAAAGAATAGAGATATGTGCCTGGTAGTGGTGGTCTACATCTTTACTCTCAGCACTACAGAGAGAGTTCCAGGGGAAACCCTGTCTCAACAAACAAACAAAAATAATAAATAAATAAAACAAAACAAGAAGTAAAGTTAACTTTGATGGAGTCTTCATCTCCACCTTTGTGATCCTAACAAATCATACAGCCTCTCAGGAATGAATGAGAGCTAAGCTTTTTGTTTGTGTTTTTGAGACAGGATTTCTCTGTGTAGCCCTGGTTGTCTTGAAACTCACTTGTAGACCAGGCTGGCCTGGAACTCACAGAGATCCACCTGCCTCTGCCTCCTAAGTGCTAAAGGTGTACATCACCACCACCTGGCTACTGTGCCTGGCCTACTAGAAGTCTTCAGTAAAGTTAGAAACCTGAGGGGGTGGGGCTGGAGGGATGGTTCAGTGGTTAAGAGCACCGATTGCTCTTCCAGAGGTTCTGAGTTCAATTCCCAGCACCCACATAGTGGTTCACAACCGTCTTTAATGAGATTTGGTACCCTCTTCTGACATGGAGGCAGAACACTGTACACATAATAAATAAACAAATCTAAAAACAAACAAACAAAACCCTGAGCAAGCAGATACATGGATCAAAGAACCAGTGTCTCTAAATGGAGTAATGGTCTCGTGATACTACACAGTTGAACAAATCATTGGGACCCTTGTGAGGAAAAATTATGGAGCTAAAGTTCAGTGGTAGAATGCTTGCCCACCCTAGATTCAATCCCAGTACAGCAGGTCTGCTAATGAAGGGAAGAGAGGATGCGGCAGGAGGGGGGGGGAAACATGGTATTTAGCATCTTCCAGTGGCAGAAAGTGTGGAACAGCCAAGCAAACCAGGAAAATCAGAAACCTAAGAACCAGAAGCCACAGAAGCCAGGCCTTTTCTTCTCCAAGAGGTCCAGGTAAGCAACTCTAGTCATCAGTTCAGATTCATCCCTTCTTTGTTCCTTTCTTCACTCAATGCTAGGTTGAACCCAGAACTTCCCACCACTGAGCAAACAAACACTCTGTCACTGAAATATATACCCAGCCCATATTTCTTTACTTCCAAAGAAAGCATTTCAAATACAGCAGCCCCAGCACACAAAGCCTCCCAGGTGGCTCTTCCCAGTGGTGAATCGAGAGATATGTCCTTTTCAGTAATTCCCATAGAGAGAGCCAGTAACTGTGTAAAACTTCAAGTGAGGGGTGGAGGGCTAGAAAGAGGCTCAGTAGTTAAGAGCACACACTGCTCTTGAAGAAGAAGCCAGGGCTGGGAATGGAGCTCAGAGGCCAAGCACACGACCAAAAACAAAACAAAACAAAACAAAACCAGGATTCAGTTCTGGAAGTGTGGAGCACAGTGACTCCAGTTCTAGAGGTTCTGGTACCCTCTTCTGCTGACTGTGCAGTCTGCTGACTGCACCCCACACACACATAATTAAAACTAAAGAATAAGCTCGGCATGGGTGGTACACACCTTTAATCCTAACCCTCAAGAGGCAAGGGGAGGCTTATCTTCTGTGGGTTTGGGGCCAATCTAGTCTATATAGTGAGTTCCAGGCTAGCCAGGGTGACGAAGTAGCTCAAACATAAATATTCTACACACAAATTTTATTTGGTGCTGGGAATTAAACTAAGGAACTCCAGCACACTCTTTATCAGGAAGCTATACTTCTAATTAAGGCTGAAACATTTGAAAACTAATTTTTGATGGTGTATATGTACGTGCACACGAGTGCCTAGGATGCCAAAGGCAAGGAGTCCTGGAGCTGGTGCTACAGGAGGTTTTTGAGCCATCTGATTGGGTGTTAGGAACTGAGCTCTGGTCCTTTGCAAGATCACTCACACTCAATGGTTTGGGCCGTCATCTCTCCAGTGTCCAAACCCTTCCCCTTTCTCTCTCTCTTCCCTCCTTCTCTCTGTCTTCCTTCCTTCCCTCCCTCTCTCCCCTCCCTACCCCCCCCCAAAGGTTTCACTTTGTAATTTATGCCGGCCCACACTCACTATGTAGCATAGGATGGCTTCAAACTCATGATCCTTCTGCTTCAGCTCAAAATTGCTGGGATCATGGTATCAGTGAGCAGTCCTTTTGTTCTACCTAGGTACTTATTAGTGGTAAGAAGCTCTTTAAATGCAGGTTTGGACTGGTCTTACCCCTTGTTTGCTAGCAGCAAGTGGCACCCTCTAGTGTAATGCTCTCGTGTAGCTCTTGTGTAGGTAGGGAGAGAAACTAGGATTCTTCAACTCGTCTCAACTCCTGGAATTGCAGCTTCCTTGCAGATGAGCCTGGTATCCTTCTGCCCTTGAGACCAGGCAGTATTACAGCTGTTAGCAAGGGGTATTCAGGACCCGTCCTGAAAACTTGACAGTTCTCTGGAATGCTTACAATGACTGGGGCCTGCAGTTTCTCCTTTCTGGTTGTTTATTTGTTTGTTTGTTTGTTTGTTTATGCTTTGAGCAAGGTTTCTCTGTGTAGCAGCCCTGGCTGTCCTGGAATTCACTCTGTAGACCAGGCTGACCTTGAACTCACAGAGATCCACCTGTATCTGCTGTGCTGGGATTAAAGGTGTGTACTACCACTGCCCAGCCTTTTCTGTTTAGTTTAATTATTACTTTACATACACGAATGTGTTGCCTCCTTGTGAGTCTATGCACCACATATGTGCCTGACACAAAGCCAGAAGGCGGCATCAGATCCCTAAGACTGGAATTACAGACTGTTGTGAGCCACCATTTGGGAGCTGAGAGTTGAACTCTGGTCCTCTTTAAGAGTGTGACAGATGTTCTTAACCTCTGAGCCACCTCTCTAGGTTTTTTTTGTTTGTTTTGAGGTAGCATCTTACTTTGCAGACCAGGCTGGCCTGGAACTCACAAAGATCAGCCTGCTTCTGCAGGGATTCATGGGGTGTCTCACTAGTACCTCTCTGGTTCACTATGGTTTTCTATTCTTTGGCCTAATCTTTCTGTCCTTTATACTATTGTCCTCCCCCACCCCCCTTGTTCCTGCCTACATACTCTCTCAAACTGGCTGGCTGCCTCTTCAGTTGTTTGGCAGCTTGCCTTTGCCATCTCTGTTCTGCTTTTCTCACACTGCCCCCTCAGCCCACATGACTGAAATCAGGCAAGAGACATCACCAGAGAGGAGGAGTCTTTAAGTGGGTTCTGTGTTCTAACACCGAGGAAGGCAGCACAGAAGTGCTGCCCAGGCGACTTGCGAATGAGCCCAATGTCTTTGCTAATATCCCCAGGGAACGGATAGTACAGAGAGCACCAATCACAGCCAAACTTTAATGATAACGACTCAAACTGTAAACTGCAAAACTCCCAGAATCGACCTTTAGCACCAGACCCAGCAGCATCCCTACCAAGCCACCAAATGTACACTGCTGTTTCCTTTCTGGCCTATGTGAAAATGGCAGGAGATCATCTAGAATTCATGAATGCCTGTGAGAGCAGAGAGTTTGGTACAAACGATTCGAAACAGCCCTGGCTGGGGCTATACCTTCAGGGGCTGGAGCAACCAGCTGCATTATTGTTTCTTCAACACCATGGAGTGTTCAAAAGAAAGGATGCTGGCAAAGAGTGGTCTGGCTGGCTTGACTGACAGACCTTCCTCTCAATGAAAGCCAGGGAAGGGAGGAGGGGAGAATCCAACAGATGCCTACTGGGGAGTCAAATGGCCCCATGTTCCAGTGTTTTTGCTTGTGTACAGGGAAGTGATCAGAAGGGGTGCTTAATTAAGAAATCTTAAAGAGCTTATTGCTAATACTTAGTAACAATTTAAACAGTGCTCAGCACTAGAATCCCAAGTAGGGTGCTTCAAGATTACAAGCACATGCTAATTCTTAACTGTGTCCTGCTAACTTTTCGTCTTTATTGTCTGTACTGGACAAGTGATTGCTTTATTTACACATATCAGCCTAGCACAGGCCTGCAAACTTTTGCTTCTGCTTATCTATCTTTCATACCAGAACTATATATATATCTTCTCAAAACTGAGATTTGCACCACATTTCAGTGTGTATGTGTGCGTGAGAGAGAGACAGAGAGAGATTTGGGTATATATAGAGGCCAGAGGACAACCTTGGCTGTCATTCCTCAGATGATGTCCACCTGGCTAGGCTGCCTGGCAGTGAGCCCTAGGTGATCCACCTGTCCTTGCCTCTGCATCACTGGGATTACAAGTGGATGCCAATTTCTACATTTCTACCTCCCCATCTTCTCTCTCCTCATGTTTTTACCCTCCTCTCACCAACATAGTCAGATTATCCCTTTAACTCTGCAATATCCCACACATGTTTCTGGCACTTCAAGCTGTTACTGATGGCCGTTGGAGAGATGGCTCAGTAGTTAACAGCACTTGCTGTTCTTTCAGAGAACCTGGATTGGATTCCTAGCACCTACATCTGGGAGCTCACAACCACCTGTTCCAGTTCCAGGGGATCCAACATCCTTTCCTGAGATCCACCATGAACCCACATGGTACATTTGTATACATGTAGATATCCATACACAGAAAATAAAAATAAATGAATTTCAAAAACAGTTATTTCTGGGGTTGCGGAAATGGCTCAGTGGATGAAGTACTTTGCTATGCAACCATGAAGCTGGGTGGATCATATGCGTCTGCAACTCCAGTGCTAGGCTCACTGGCCAGTCCATCTGGAATCCCTGCTCACCCATCCAACTATCCAGACTCACTGAAAGAGTATGTTTCACGAAATGAAGTATCTGCGGGAGACCTCCGAATGTCAACCTCCAGCTTGTACAACCACCCGTAAAGGCCAGTGCACCCCTCATATACATAAAAAAAAAAAATTAACAAGAAAGTGTTTACTAGGTAGGCCTGGTAATAGGCAAAGGATTTTACAGCCAAGTACTGAGAAACAAAGAGGGGAAATTAGTACTACCTTTAAAACTGAAATTTATTGTTGAAAGAACACACAATTGTCAATAACATCAACTCTAAAAGAAAACTGTTTTAAATTACCGGGCAGAAAATTAGATGTCCATTCGCTGCTAAAATTTGGGAGAGTAGGTAATTCCTAGTCTTTGTTCAAGTGATTTGCATATATTATGCAAATATCCAGAACCACTGGAAGAACGCCCACTCGAAGAAAGTCAATGATAGTCTCCTCCGGACCCTCTCATTGGCTTGCCCATCCACTTCATTTGCATTACGTGATTTAATAACTGGAAAAAGCCCGCCTCCCTGCAGCGGTTACCTCTTCTGAATGGACGCCCAGGCCTGAGACTCTTCCAGGGTCTCTGTTAACTCCGCCCTCCACTAAGTAATCCCTTCCGCTCGTCGCAGTTCTTCCCGTCCTCTCAGCTGAAAGCGTCCGGGGCCCTAAGCATCGTTTCCCTGCGTCTCTCTCCCATCCTTTCGCGGATGCACCACGCATGCGCCGTCTCTTTCTTTCCCACCATCCGTCGTGTAAATTCTGCGTCCCAACCGTCCCGCATTCCGCCTGGTCTGCGCGTCTCAACTGCCGACGCCGAGGAGCCTCGCTAGCCAACCGGCGTCCTAGCGTTGTAAGTCCCTCCCCTTTATGCAAATATCCTCCATACACGGCCTTTATTTTTTTAAAGTAGGTGGACAGCCCTGAAGCGCGGAGGGGTCGGATAGGAAAGGGGACCCGCCCTCTATGCAAATAAGGGGGCGTGCCAAGCCGCGGAGGGAGGCGGGAGGTGGGGGGTGCTCCCGGGGGCGGCGGTTGCCCGGATGGGCCGTTAGTCGGAGCCCAGCCGCGGAGTGAGCGAGGGAGACGGGAGGAGCCGAGCGCGGCGCCATCCGCCGCCATCCGCCCCCGCCCCGCCGCCATCCGCCCCGGGGAGCCTCTAAACCCGGGTCCCGGACCCCCGCGCACCCGGCCAGGTGAGTCTGGGCGATCCGGGTGCTGACGCCCTTTCCGGCGCGGGGCGGCGGCGGCGGCGGGCCGGGGGAGAAGCTGCCATTAGCCGCCGCCATCTTGTCCTCCTGCCGCCGGCCCGCCCCTCCCCCTCGGCCTGCGCCGTCGGCTCCCAGGCCGCCGTGGAGGGCCGGGGGCCGTCCGCTGCCCGGCAGCCGGCCCCTTAGGGCACGACCCCGCTCCAGGCCGCACTTCCTGCCCGCGTCGCGCCTCCGTACCCTCGGCCGGCCCGCGGCCCCTCTGCCGCCCACAGATGTGCCCTTTGAGGGTCGCTTCGTCTTACTGGATCCTGTCCTATACCACCTGGCGCAATGGTTCCTCTTCTTTCTTGTTCTCTGCGTCGAGTCACTCGCATCCTGGAGCCCGGCTTCCGCCCAGCATCTTCACCTTCCTGCATTCCCCAAGTCTCGGCTTTTTAATTTTTCCTGTTTCTCCTCCTTTCTCCCTTTTTCTTCCTGGCTGTATTGACACTGCCCCCTCCCCCCCTTCTGGTCCATTCTTGCTTCCATTATTTCCCTCCCTCCTTTCTCGCTGATTTTCTTTTTATTATTATTTCTAGTTTAAAATGTGTCTGCTCTACGATTTTTTCTGCTTTTTAACCCCCCCCCCCATCGTAGATTTCAGCTCGGCTTCCTTAACTGCCTACAGAGCAACCCCCCATCCTTCTTGTCCCTGGCTTATTGTAGAATTGTTTCCCCGATTTTGACTTTTCTCCTATGCCCGCATGCTTTCTTCCTATCTCCCATCTCTTCTTCACACTGCTCCCACCCTCAAATGAAAGCCTGGTCGCTCCAGAATGGGCTGAGATGGAGAGTTTGGCCTGCCTGAGGGCCAAGGGTCGTTAAGGAAAGAAATATCTGCTTGCGGAGAGATTTTATGAGGATAGAAAATCAAGTTGGTTCTGGTTTTGCCTCTCTGGGCCCATGGTTACAGGGTATTTTCAGGTTAGCTTTATAATGCTTTGTTTTTCGTCTGTTTTAAATAGTACATACCAGAGTCCACTACTGTTTTTCCTAGTAGCAGAATTGTCTCCCAAGAACCAAGATGGGGCAGGTAAAGGAATAGCTGGTGTGTTCTGCTTACAGGGGGTTTTGTTCAGCCTGGGAGAGTGTGTAGAGCCCCTGTTTTTAGTAAGGCTTATTCTGGCCCCAGCTCTCAGTCTGACATAGCAAGCTCATAAAAATCTTCAACCTCCTAGCATACCTTCCGTCAGACCTTCCCACATGGGATTTAAGGCTGCTGGGAATGGAACCTGGGACACAGGGCCCTGGGGCATGATTACAGAGCAGGTGTCTAATAGGTTGGCAACCCTAAATTCTCTTGCTTGATGGAGTTGTGTACCGTGTGGTTTTCTCTGGGGCTTGGACTTGGTTGTCCAATTTTATCGTTTATCTCTGATTATTGGAGGAATGAAAGATGACTACTTTGGGGATAACAAGAGATGCTGTTGCCATTTCTAAAGTGGCACAAAGGATAGAGCATTTATATCAGGAAGATACTGGTGTTTTATTTGTTTTCTTTGTCAGGATGTGTCCAGGAGAAAGGACTGGCTGTGGGAGACTATAGTAGCTTACACAAGCTAGAGAGTCATGTACCTGGTCCCTGAAGAGAATGAAGAGAGCTTCTAGGCTTTTGTCTATGAAGGGGGCAGAATCTGAGCTGCCTTCTGTCTGACCCACAGGCACCGGCTCGTTTTGGGGGAGGTGCCTGCAGGACCCAACGTACTCAATGAGCTTCCAGCGCAATGTCCGATCGCTCGGGGCCGACTGCCAAGGGGAAGGATGGAAAGAAGTATTCCTCGCTCAACTTGTTTGATACGTATAAGGGCAAATCCTTAGAGATCCAGAAACCCACTGGTGAGGGTCCTGCAAAGGTGTTAATGTTTGAAGGCTTAGTGTGTGTGGGGTGAGGTTTTCTTCAACAAAGGCGGCAAACCAGAGGAACACCCCAGTTTCATCTTTAGTGCTGAAAGGGGTGCTGGGCTCTGGGTAAAGCACTAGTCATCCTCCTGCAAAGGCGTGTTTCTGGTTTCTTGTCCTTGAACACGTAAGAATCGGAGGGAAAGAAATGTGGATTTGCAAAGATCTGGGGCCAGCTTGCTCCACGCAGGCTCTGGATCAACCATCTCACAGATAAACACTGATTGTAACATATCTCACCTTTCTCGGGAGAGTTTAGAGATCATTATTGAGTGATGGAATGCCTCCTGAGAGAAATCTGTAGTGAAAAGGTAGTAGAATGTTGAGGCTTATCTAAATGGGATCTGTGGGTGGGAGACTATTAGGCATTTTTGACCTTTTCTCCACATTTTCTTCAGTTGCCCCTCGACATGGCCTGCAGAGTCTCGGAAAAGTTGCCATTGCCCGGCGTATGCCACCCCCAGCCAACCTTCCAAGCCTGAAAGCCGAGAACAAAGGCAATGACCCAAATGTCTCACTAGTGCCGAAAGACGGAACAGGATGGGCAAGCAAACAGGAGCAGTCCGACCCCAAGAGGTAGACAGGGACCTGGGGAACCTGGAATGATGAATCTTTCAGCTTGGAACTTAAGAATATATTAAGGCGTGGTCTGTCCTAGACACATAAGAGCCAGAGACAAAGAGAGGACTACATTTTGCACCTAGTTATGTTAGATGGCAAAGAAATGAAACCTTAAGCTTAGATGGAGAAAAAGAATAACTAGACAGAACCAGTCTGCTGAGTTATTTTGTCCTAGTATTTGTAGATGATAGTGATAGGCTAGGGTCAGTTCCAACTTTGGACCAGTTAGAGAACTAAAGCAGAGGCTTCTCACACTTGGGTAAACTTTCCATCCTGCTATTCCTTCAGTTCCGATGCCTCAACCGCTCAGCCGCCGGAATCGCAGCCACTGCCGGCTTCGCAGACGCCTGCCTCCAACCAGCCGAAACGACCCCCAACAGTCCCAGAGGTACTAGGAGCACCTGGAGGGTTGGAAGAAAAGTGATGTTTTCCTCCTCATAACCATTTATTACCTTTGCTTCCCCAGAACACTCCTTCGGTTCCAAGCGGGGTAAAGTCCTGGGCACAAGCCAGTGTCACCCACGGAGCGCATGGAGATGGTGAGTTGAAGAGTGTGTGAGGCCTGGGCAGTGGTGGTACACATCCTTAATCCCAGCACTTGGAAGGAAGTCACTGTGGGAGGCAGGAGCCCTGCATACCTTCGGGAAAGATCTTTGATCTTTTGTCAAAATATCCTCCTCCCAGTACTCCAGAGCCTTCTACTCAGTATACATGCTCAGGGAGTGAACTCCTGTCTGAATTATGCCCTCATTTCCATAGGTGGAAGGGCATCAAGCCTACTGTCGCGATTCTCTCGAGAGGAATTTCCGACCCTGCAGGCGGCTGGCGACCAGGACAAGGCTGCCAAGGAAAGGGAGTCTGCCGAACAGTCGTCTGGGCCCGGACCAAGCCTCCGCCCCCAAAGTGAGTGGCTTCCTTGTGTGAGTGAGTGGTTGCTTGTAATCAGGATAGTGCCTGTTTCATGGAAGAGCTGAATGCTGTGTGAATCACTTTCCTCCACATCATTTTTGGTGCATTCACTTGCCCCAACAGTAGAAACTTATCTCTTCCCTCTCTGCATTTTCCAAAATACAGATTCTACAACTTGGAGGGACGGAGGTGGGCGTGGCCCTGATGAACTGGAGGGCCCGGACTCCAAACTTCATCATGGTCATGATCCCCGGGGTGGGCTGCAGCCTTCAGGCCCACCCCAGTTCCCTCCCTACCGCGGAATGATGCCGCCCTTTGTGAGTTTGGCTGTTTAGTCTTGGAGTGGTTTCACTAAAGGCAGAGTGTTAGGATTTAGGCAAAGTTCAAGGCCAGCCTGGTCTGCAGATCTAGTTCCAGGATAGCCAGGGCTGTTAACACAGAGAAACTGTTGGGGGCGGGTGAGTCAGGACTTAGTCATTGGAGAACATAGTTAGAAAGTAGACCCCCCGTGAAATGGGGGTAGTGGTGGTGCACATCTTCAATCCCAACACTTAGGAGGTGGAGGCAGGTGGAACTCAGTGAGTTTGAGGACAGCCAGGGCTAAACAGAAATCCTCTTGGGGTGGGGAGTAGACGCCAGTAAAACAAGGATGGGAGGATGAGATGTTTAAAAGGCTGGCAGGCTATTTATCCCTCTTAGCAGCCACTGTTGGGCCTTTTTACAGATGTATCCCCCGTATCTCCCATTCCCTCCGCCCTACGGACCCCAGGGGCCTTATCGATACCCGACTCCAGATGGGCCTGGGTAAGCTGTCCAATGTCTGGGTTTGTTCCTGGGGACAGTGTGAGGCTGACTGGGGAGAGGTGTGTTTTCTACCCAGGAGGTTCAGCTTTGTATGTGATTCTACTAAATGCTGTTTTTAACATTGTACCTCCCCTCTTTTTTCATTTCCATACACAGCCGTTTTCCCCGAGTGGCGGGCCCCCGGGGCTCAGGGCCGCCAATGCGCCTTGTAGAGCCTGTGGGTCGGCCTTCTATTCTTAAAGAGGATAATCTCAAAGAATTTGACCAGTTGGACCAGGAAAATGATGATGGTTGGGCAGGTGAATATGGGTATTATTAAAATGTGATGAGGAAATAATGGGTCATGCAAGAGAAAAGCAGGTGTGAGAAGGTAAAGGGTGTGTGGTAGAAAGCCAATGCTACAGAGCCCTGAGAGAAGTGAGGGTAACAGGGCTTGGTTGGGAGTGGATGGGGTGGGGATAGTTAGCATTGAATGATTTTTCTTTTGTAGTTCCAGGCTGTTTGCTTTGTTTGGGGAAAGTATGAGCTTGGAGAGCAGACTGCTTGGTTTACTTACTGTCCATTTTCTTTCACCTCAGGGGCCCATGAGGAGGTTGACTACACTGAAAAGCTCAAGTTCAGTGATGAAGAAGATGGGCGAGACTCTGATGAGGAGGGAGCTGAGGGCCAGTGAGTTAGGGCACCAGAGGAGAAAAGGGGGCTCTATTTCTGGTGTAAAGGGCTGGTTACAGCAGAGTTTAAATACACTGTGATCTGCCCACAGCAAGGACTCCCAATCAGCTGCTGGTGAGGAGCCTGAAGCAGATGGCAAAGAGGACACATCCCCTGGCAGCCAGCCACCTCCTCCCAAGACAGCCTGGGCAGAGAACTCTCGGCCTCCAGAAATGGAGCCAGTTCCTGCCACACCAAAACCTCCCCCACCTCCACCTCACCGGGGTCCCGTGGGGAACTGGGGCCCCCCTGGGGACTACCCAGTGAGTATCTGCAGTGAGGGTTGAGAGGGGCAGTTGTGGGAGCCATCAGCTGAATAATAAATAATAAGCACTAATAAGAAGCTAGAGGGGGCCTATGTAGCATCTCAGAAAGCTTGGGAACTTTGCTTCTGGAGCATTTGGGGAGAAGAGTTGGGATGCTGGGAAGGAAGGCCTGCATGTTTAGGTCTCCAGAAGAGCAGAGGGTGAGGAATTTGTCTCCAAAGGCCATTAACTTAAAGGCCTGGTTCTTCCTATTGATGGATTAGTTGGTTGATCTTTGAAAGAGGTAGTGGAAGGTATAATGACTGACGTGCCTGGCCTGATGGGTCTGCCCATTGCCAGGATCGTGGGGGTCCTCCCTGCAAACCCCCAGCACCTGAAGATGAGGATGAAGCATGGCGGCAACGTCGGAAGCAGTCTTCCTCGGAGATCTCCCTGGCAGTGGAGCGGGCCCGAAGGCGACGAGAAGAGGAAGAGCGACGCATGCAGGAGGAGCGGCGGGCAGCCTGTGCTGAGAAACTCAAGCGGCTCGATGAGAAGTTTGGGGCTCCTGACAAGCGGCTGAAAGCAGAACCTGCCGCCCCACCTGTTACCCCTCCTGCACCAGCTCCACCACCTGCAGTCCCCAAAGAACTCCCTGCTCCTCCAGCTCAGCCGCCAGCACCAGCCCCAACACCAGAGAAAGAACCTGAAGAGCCAGCACAAGCCCCTCCTGTGCAGTCCACCCCCAGTCCAGGTGTGGTTCCAGTTCCCACTCTGGTGAGTGGTGGTGGCACTGCCGGTAGCACCAGCAGTGGCAGCTTGGAAGCCAGCCCAGGTATGGAGAAAGGGATAGGCTCTTCTAGGCGCTTGGCTTGTGGGGCACTAACTGCATAGGATGGGTATCACTGGAAGAAAGTGATAGTTTCATTGCATGTATGAGGTGGGAAGAAAGGGTCTGTCATTGGGATGTCTGGGGGAGGATCAGAACCCATTTTTGCAGAGCCTAAAGTGTAGCAGAGCTTGCATTTTCTGATGGTGTCACAGGAGTACTTAAGGCCTTGAAGTGTTGTCCTGGGTGGGCATTAATATAGTTGATATTTAAGTTGAAAACTGAAGTGGGGGTTGAAAACTTAAGCGCGAGAAGGGGGTTGGAGCTTCTGGGGATATTCTTTGACGGTTTTGATGGACCAAGTCAGTCTGTTCTTCAATGCAGTGGAGCCCCAACTGCCTTCAAAAGAGGGTCCAGAGCCACCAGAAGAGTCTCCTCCACCTACCACACCCCCAGCCCCAAAGGTTGAACCTAAGGGTGATGGGGTTGGCCCTACTCGCCAGCCTCCCAGCCAGAATTTGGGCTACCCCAAATACCAGAAGTCATTGCCACCTCGCTTCCAGAGGCAGCAGCAGGTAAGGTCAGCTCTTCTCCTCTGGCTGTTTTTGTCTCTTCACCATCCTCAAGAGACATCTTAAGACCTGTGTTCACCTCTTTTGTGTTAGCACAGTCCATCTACTCCATGACTTTACTTTTCCTCTGCTGATGCCTTTTCCATCCTGTGTTGTTCTGGCAGGAGCAGCTCCTGAAGCAGCAGCAGCAGCAATGGCAGCAGCAGCAGCAGCAGCAAGGCACTGCCCCTCCTGCCCCAGTGCCCCCGTCACCACCACAGCCTGTGACCCTAGGGACTGTACCTGCCCCACAGGCACCACCCCCACCCCCCAAAGCCCTGTATCCAGGTGCTCTGGGCCGGCCCCCACCAATGCCTCCAATGAACTTTGACCCCCGCTGGATGATGATTCCTCCTTATGTGGACCCTCGACTTCTTCAGGGCCGGCCCCCTCTGGACTTCTACCCTCCTGGTGTGCATCCCTCTGGTGAGGTTCCATGGGAATGGAGTGATGGGGAACTCCCTATTCCCAGGAGGGGTCACTCT